TTTAAAAATTAAAACAAAAATATAAATAACATAATAATCAAAAAACAAATAAATTTGATAGATTTTACAATATGTCATGCAGAATACAAAAAAAACGATAATTTATATTAAGGCATTTCATGATTCAAGAATATTATTCACAATATTTATTATTATTACATCAGTTATTAAGTATTTAATTGCATATATTTTGATTGATAAATTCATTGATGGAATAATAGTTATTTTCCAACAGGAAGGCTCCAAGTTTTTGTTTAAATAAAGAAGTCCTATAAATTACGCTTTTTATGCTTTCCGGTAAACAGTTAAAAAGTTTAATGGATTGATACTGAACACAGTGCCGAGCTATATTCATTCTAGGGTTTATTGTATGTTGAATATGTTTCCTCCGCGTGCTCTCTCTAACTAACCTCTCTTCGTGGGTTTCAACCTCGTGCATATATTTGGATAAGTAACACAATGTTGTCAATATATACAAACAAGGCACCGTCAATAGTCCAAGACTTTTAAAATGTTCTCGACATGATTCTATTTGGGGAATGCGGACTATAGTTCTTATAGCTCTTTTTTGTAAAATGAACGCCCTCTCTATATTATAAGCGTAACTATTTCCCCACAGTTGTATACTATATCTGAACTTTGACTCTATTAGCGCATGGTAAACGGATTTTAGGATATTTATTTCTACTACTTCTCGAAGGCTCCTAATTGCATAGCATGCTGAAGAGATTGAGGTGTCAATAGATTTTATCTCTTCTTTCCAATTGAGCAATGCATCAATATGAACCCCCAAGAATTTAACAGAATTCACGAATTCTAATCTCTCTCCATTAATCATAACGTCTAATCTATCGTTATTACTAGCTGTCGATTTAAATAAGATTAGGTTTGTCTTTTTTGTGTTAACTATAAGCTTGTTAACTGCAAACCAATCTTGAAAAGTTTCTAGTGCGCCAATTATTTTTACATTTAAGGAACTTAGGTTACTTGCACTAATCACAGCGTTTGTATCATCTGCAAAAACCCGCGTTTGTTGTTTTGTAATGCCGCGGGGCGAAGGTAGTCTAAAAAAAGTAGCCTAAGTTACTCCTTATGTCATCAGCTATCTGCCAGTGAAAGTCCCGTCGAAATCGGTCCAGCCGTTACAGAGATTACCCGGAACAAACAGACAGACAGACAGACAAAAATTAAAAAAAAATGTTATTTTGGCATATGTACCGTGTAAACATACATATGCATTTAGTAAAAAGCGGTTATTTTAATATTACAAACAGACACTCCAATTTTATTTATTTGTATGGATTATAGTGCATTTATTTACTTATTAATTTAATCACACATAACAGGATAATTTTACACTATAATGTATATGTACAGGTGTTTATTAACCCACTGAATAATATTCCGTCACGTCATAATAATATATATCATTTCATATGACTACATATTTACATAATAATCAAATGCAGGCCATTATACATGATAGTCCTAGTATCATTGTTTAATTTTGAATAGCAACATCTATTGAGCAGTGTAAACAAACTGTTAACTGTCAAGGTTGATTGATCAATTTATATTGTTTGAGGTAGGGGTGTCGCACTTGAGAAATGTTTTATTTTTTATTTTTTTTATGTTAGAGGGGGCAGACGAGCAGACGGGTCACCTGATGGAAAGTGACTATCGCCGCCCATGAACGTCTGCAACTCAGGAGTCACAAACGCGTTGCCGATCTTTTAGGAAGGAGTACGCTCTTTTCTTGAAGGTTTGAAGGTCGTATCGGTCCAGAAATACGATAACACGGTCCACAGATTGGTTGTCCGGGCAAAAAGTGTCTCGAAAAGCGCACAGTAGTGGAGCGCCAACTATCCAGGTAATGAGGATGAAAATTTTGCCGTGTCGATGACGGAAATTTGCGGCTGGTATTACTCCGAACAATTCCTTAGAGCACTCTCTATGATATATGCGATAGAGAATGCAGAGTGAAGCCACATATCTACGTAACGCCAAGGGATCGAGCCGATCGGATGAGATGTTTGGGCTATCGACGATTCGAGTCGCTCTTCGTTGGATGCGGTCTAAAGAGGAGCTGGTACTGAGATGCCCCTGCATAGAGATGAGAACAGTATTCCATATACGGCCGGACTTGCGCCTTATATGGATGAAGGCGGTGGGCCGGAATGAAATACTGCCTCGATCAGTTCAGGACACCGAGCTTCTTCGAGGCCAATTTGACCTTACCCTCTAAGTGACCCCGTAACTGGACTTCGCTCGATATGTCGATGCCTAGGATTTCGATGCTGACTGAGGCAGTTAGGGAGGTGCTCTCAAACTGAGGTGATATGACAAATGGTATCTTTTTGCGGTGAACGCACATACCTGTTTCATATTGAAATTAAAAAGCAGTAGACTTAATACACATTATATACACAATGTTACAGGAAAGTTTGATTAAATTTTGGCCACTTTACGTGTAGCTTAATAATGGATTTAGCTTAAAAAAGGGGTATGAATATAGAAAAATAGTTTTTTCTTTCAAGAAATATGTCTAGTCATTTCTTTCTTTTATATTCGAACTCCGACTCTAAAAAAACATTCTGTGTCGCGAGGGACTTTCATGTATCGAACATTCATGTAATGGGCACAAAGAACACCCACACTCAAAGAAACAATTTGTGGATCACACAAAGTGTTGTCCCATGTGGGGATCAAACTCACAACGCTCAGCGCGGTAGGAAAGGGGAGGTGACTGCTTAAACCACCGTGGTTTGCTCCCTTAGCCGGCTCTTACAACACCCACGGGACGTGTATCACCACATGTGTATACATAAATGGCTATAAATGTGTTCCACAATTGCGTGACAGCCCTGTAAAGGAAGTGACTAAATGTTTACACAAGCCTAATATAAGCAGAATTAACCTCGACCTAGTTTATTAAGGTAACTGGAAACTGATGCGATCACATTGATTTGACAAATATTTCAAAAATCTATTTGTACTTTAATTATCTTAAATGAAAAATTATCACTTCCTTTATTTTAACAGAATGGCTAAGGCTATTTGTGTGGTTTGCTGATTCCTTCTCGGAAGACTCGGTAATTTGGAAATTTGTTAGTTTCAGATTTTATGATTAGTTAGTTTAGTTTCAGATAGACACGGCATAGATTGATTTATTAAATTTAATTCATTATTTGCATTACCAACATCTGAATTTACTCTGACAGTACTCATACAAAACAGAACATAAACCAGTGATCCAAATAATTACAGATAAATACAGCATACACAAAATATAACACAGATTAAACACGAAAAAAATAACAACACATAAAAATACAGATACGTGTGACAGATGTGTACAGATGTGTTATCCATTTTCATGCGGTTCCATGGTCCTAACAAGGAACCCTAACAGGTTCGCTCTATCCATCTGTCTGTCTGTCCAGCCCTCAATGGTCTATCTTAGAGAATGTATTAAAAGAAAGCTATTATATATGTGTATAGATATTAAAAAAACCGACAAAGTTATAAAATGCATCCCCATTTTACGTGTAGGGAGGCTCTACACTTTAAGTGGGGATTAGTGTTTTGTTCATCTCACAGTGTACCGTTGGATAGGTCTTAAAACAATGAATAAATTTCAAGACAATTTTTCAATATAGTTAACTCATTACAAAATATAAAAACAGTGTTTTATTACAGTAACAGTATGGGAGTACAGTGTACCTCTCCCTCTTCCAGAAAAGAAAAGGCGCCTGGCCATTAAAGAAAAGGCGCCTGCCCATTAAAGAAAAGGCGCCTGGCCATAAAATAATCCTGCCAAATTCCATTGCAATGTTTCATATTTTACCGACCACAAATAGAATTGAAAAATTGTAGAAAAATAATAATGATCTGTTGCTTTTTTAATTGAAAGAAAATTTCTGCCCCTATTAAGTATAATTCAATCAGGAACTAAATAAAATCTGTTACTTAAATTATCAAATGTTAGCCACGAACCTCAGCACACTCTCTCTACCCATGTGCCAGCGCTGTACAGCTTTATTTTTAGTTAACTATTTGCACCAGAACTAATAATGGGCTATTAGTCATTCATTCCATATCAATAAACGCCAATGAAAATGACACAAACTATAATCAAACCTAATGAACTAATTGACTAGAGTGATTCAATTGATACGTCGTACGGTTCCTTGACGACCTCTGTACTACTTCGGCGTAAAACATCCCATCAAGTGGAGAGTTCAAGGGTTCGTTTTGTTTGTGGCAGAGTTCTGTAATTACTAAGTTAAGCACTAGAGATTGGTTATCTAAATAATGTAGGTATTACTCATTGCCGCAACGGAGTAAACATCTGAGTGATTAAGCCGATTGGCTGGGTAATAGGGACAGGGGCTGGTTAGACGCGGTTAGGTGCGACTAGGAGGGGCCTTTAAAACACATGGTCCAGGTCCTACCCAGAGTGGAGCGCTTGAGGAAGGCAGTCGGGATGGTTTTAGTGGAAACACTACATACTCCTGGGGCCTGGGTCAATATTCACATAGCTAAAATAACAATGATTAAGATTTTTATTATTTTATATGTACATTAGCATTAAATTGACTGCACGGATGGCGCAGTGGTTTAAGCGGTCGCCACGCCGCTTTCTACTGCGCCGAGTGTTGTGGGTTCAAACCCCTGTTGGTTGTTGGGTTGTTCTAAGTCTGGGTGTTCTTTGTGTCCGTTTCATGTATGTTTGTAAAGTCTTTTTAAAAGAAAAAAAAAAACCAACATTGAGGCATAAAATCATCACATCATCATCATCACACACATCAAAAAAATTAGGAAACAGCGAGAAAATAACAATGGTGTTTCGCTGCTATTGTCGTTAAAAAATCTATTGTTAGTAATTTTACGCAGTAAGAAAGAGCGTCGAACTTGGGCGATTCTTATTACTACCAAATATAACTGAAAGAATAAAGATTCATATATCCTTGTTTCAGGTAACAGATTTGTTCAGTCAGATGCGGGAGCCGTCCCCCGGGGCGCTAAGCCCCCGGTCTTCCTCCAGTTCCTTGCTGAACGGCCCTGTAACGAGGAATGTGGGCTTCCAGCAGCAGAACTCTTCCTCAGAACATCTACCTTGGAGCAGTACGGCCGTATGCCTCCCGGGAAATTGCAATTCTAATTTGTGAGTATTGTTACGAGTTGTAACGGTATTCAACCTTCATAGTATTTGCCCTAACTTATATCATGAATTCGAAATTAACTTGGTTTGCTTTGAATGAAAGCTACCATCCTACCTAAATTACATACTTAACTTATCAATATGTAATTTGTACTCAAAGATACGAATATGATAAAGGGTATATCTCCACCCCCAGAACAAGCGAATCCACAGATAAAACCTTATTACCTCTAGTTTCTTTCATAGCATTTATTGTCACTCCAAACTAACGAGTACCCAATGATCGTACATAGCGCTATGAAATTTTAAACGCCGATTAGTATACAAAACTTACTAACATCAACCGTTGGGACACAGACCGCCAGGCATAATCACCTCACCTGGTAGGACTATCCTCCCTTTGTATTGGAGAGACATAAAACGTGTGTGATAATGACACCTTAATCATCATCAACATATCGCGGTCCACTGCTGAACGAAGGCCTCCCCAATCTAAACATTATCAACAATTTATTCCAGAACGAGTGAGAATCATTCGCCAATGGTCCGCAGCAGCAGCAACGCTTCTGCCTTAACTTCGCTGTGTGTTGATCTCTCGGCATCCGACTCACATTTCTTTGAGGTAAGGTCACTCAGTTAATAGCAATTCATAACCGTTGAGACCACCGAATACCAAAGAATTTTTTTAAGAGGTGACCCGACTATCAATGTAAGTTATATCGTGGGAAACCCAAAAATGGGCCGGCTTGACCGTTGCGATACCACGGCCTCACAGAAAACCGGTCGTTAAGAAATTTCTCTGTTGCATTTCACCAACCCTCCCTATACCCCCCTCATGATAGCGTCGTTGGAAAAAATTCTACCCCAGCTGAGTTAGCGTTGGATAATCCCCCTCTTAACGTCCACGCTCAGAACACCATGCGTCTGGGCGTGAATGTTTGGGCTTCCTCGCGATATCTGTCTGCGGCGGGAGCAGGCACATCAGGCCACCCCTCGCTTCGAGCCTTGATGTGAATTTCTGCAATATAAGGGGGCTTTCACTCCAACCTCAACGTCCACCACCACCTCGATGTAGTGAAGCCGTTTGTCCCGTCTTACTAAAGTTATAATGGCAAAATATGGGCATTATTTATACCTCTAGCCCACCTCTAAGGATTGGGCTTTTATATTTTTAAATATATTTTTTATTTATTATCGATAGGGCTTTTTAGGGCTCCAACTATCCGCAACTTTTGCCATAGATGTTCTTATGGCAACTGGGGCCGACGGCTAAAGGTGCTCTCCGAGACACGGAGGGGTCTCAGTGTGTTAAGAATGGTCACCTATCCATAGATTGACCTGGCTAGAATTACTTAGCTATGCAATCTGCTAACCTACTTAGCCACAAACTCCTCTAATTATTTTAATACCTATTTACTGTTTTAAACACAGAATTTTTCAATGGACCAGTTAAAACTTTTGATTTGACATTATTTCTAAGTACCTCACCATTTTTTAAGTAATCAGTTTTTATGTTTCTTCTAAATAAGATAAAAATATTGCAAATAATATTACAGGTGCTGTATATAGGTAAAGTGCGTATATCACAGCGGAAAGTTCCAGACTCTTTGATCGACGATGCACTTCACAAGTTCGCTCTACACGAAGCTGAGAAGGCGCTCAAATTGCGGAGACACAGCCTTTTGTCCTCCACTGGGGTAAGGAAACTTATAAAATATGTGATTCATATCAAGTAATCTTTAAAAAAACCACCAGTATATATATATTTCACCTTTTCCAGACCTCTATCTACAGCAACGATTCCAAAGACAATTTAGAAGAAGAAACAAAACCTGAAAACTCTGCAGACCTATTTAGCAAAAAGGTTCTAATCACAAGCACAACTCCGTTGGAACCAGACAAAGCATGGAATAGCGCAGAAACCCTCATCAACAAAGAACCGAAGAAGGTTGACGAAGAATTCGATACGTTTACTAAAGAAAGAGTTCACGCTGAAACCCAACTGAGAAAACCGACCCCAATACCACTAGAACCTAACGTCTTAATCCTCAACGTGGGCAAAAATAACCTAGATACGGTGAAAGAAGAAGAGAATTCAAGAGTGGATATAAACACAATGACGTCAGAATGTTCTACAGATCAGCAGAAGGAGACAGAAGATATACCAAAACGTCTAGATAGTCCAGCACCATTGAACTTTCAAGAGATAAATCGAAAGCCTGTTCTTTCTGAAAGGAAGAATTTGTGTGATAATAAACCGTTTTTGAGAGACAGGTCTGCTTCTATAGGAACTATTAATCTGAAGACACCGATTTCGCAGCTAATTGGGGAACAAAATAGAACTATGTTGTTCCAGGTAAGCTTTTAATACTTGTTTTAGGGTTCTACAACATTTATAGGATCACTTTGTTGTCCGTCTGTCTGGTAGACCCTTTATCTCGAGTACTCGTGAAGGCATCGAGTTAAAATGAAAACCATAAACTCAGGTCTACTGTCCCTTGAAATTGTGAAAAAATCTAAGATCTCAGTTAACACAAAAAACATAAAAAAATCACCTCTTATGCCGCAATAAACGCATATTTCAACACTCAAGGGAATCAAAATTTATATGAAATCATATAAATAAAGTCTTTATTTAAATTACGTAATCAATTATTGAGGTACTCACTTATCAAACACAATAAAATAAGTAATTGTAGGTAGGTACTGTAATCTATACAAATAACATACACTAGAGAAATCTTAAGGCACAACCTCGAGTTTAACTTGTCGATGTGATGTCGAGTTTTTTGTATTTTCATTTTCATACAGGATACCAATCTGGGAAAAAAAGAACCTAAAATAGCACTCAATCTCTTATCCTTTTCGTACGGGCATGCAACCCCGGTCTTTTCGAGCTACAGTAATCTCAGTCCCGTATCCTATCCGTGTCCTATCTGTGTCTCTTACCCTAGCTCCTTCCCTCTGTCTGTTTTCCTTTCCCCTTTCAAGCATCCTCTTTTGCCTTGTTTCTAACCTATTAATTATATTCCTGAGGATGGCTGGAGTCACACAGGAGGCCGGTCATAAAACAGACCTTTGCAATGTTACACATTGCGCTTACCCCCAAACAATATTTGGGAAAATTATGATGACGACGATAAATATAAATGAGTATGACTTTCAGAATGTTGCGTCATCTACTTCTTCTCAATTCTTGCACTTTAGTTGCTTGTCACACATTATTTTCCAAAAATTACGATACGAAGATATCTTAGTAGTAGCGTAGTGGTTTAAGCGGTCATCTCGCCGTTTCCGGCGTGTTGTGGGTTCGTTCTCCACATCGGACAACACTTTGTGTGATTCACAAATTGTTTTTCTGAGTCTTGGTGTTTGTTGTGTCCGTTTAATGTATGTTTGTAAAGTCCCCCGCGATTCAGGATATAATCCTAGTCCGGGAGTTGTCTTTAATAAAAAAATATATAAACATCTAACCCAATGGAAGTATCTTAATTTCTTCTGCAGGTTGGCCGGTCCGAGCTTCGGTTGATCAGTCCAGATAGGAAACAAATACTACTGCACCGCGCTTTCAAAGACGTTGCCTCGTGTGTGCTTGGTCGTTTGAACATGGAGCACTTCGGGTTTGTGTGCAGGGACACCAACGAAGGCTTCGCCTGCTACGTGTTCAAGTGTGAGAGTGAGTCAGTTGCTCAGGAAGTTATCAATGGTAAGTAGAATGGAGAATTTTGGTAAAGAGCTCTGCATACTGCTATTTGCAAAAAACTTTTTTGGACAGCTTAGTTACTAAAGGGAATTGATGTTAGATACAGGTGATACAGGCAGTGCCTGGTAAAAAGTCTTCATTCCCGTCCATTCGCGTTAGGAATCAGGTGCCAAGCTTTCATACAAAACTATAATTGATTGGCATCAGATTGGTCAGGAGGCGAGGCTTGATCGATCCGTCACTATTTTCTTAACGCAAATGGACTAAAAATTTCTGTCCTATTTCAAAAACTGGTTCTTTATTATACCTGTTTTAAAACTTACACGAAGAGTTCTACAAAAAGTTCTTATCTAATCCAGTGTTATCTTTCTGGTTTTCACCTAAATTAATAAATAAATCAGCGTAATCTCTATCTCAGAATCAGGATAAAGACGAAACACTTTTTGTATGACACAGGGGGCAAATGAGTTTGAGTTTGAGTTTAACCTCTCTGAGTCGGTGAAAACCAGCGAAATAACTGCTTAACACCGGTTTTCTGTGAGGTCAAGGTATCCCTAATACTGATTACTTTTATTTCAGCGATCAAGCAAGCCTTCGTCGCTCATGCGGAACTGATAAAAAAGACCAGAGAAAAGTCTCCGAATATGACCTGTGAACATTGCCCACTATTGTGGTACCATAGACTCTGCCATGACATCGAAGGTTAGTAGAGTTTGTATGTTTTATCACGAAGCAAGTCACCTAAGTCCCATCTTGCTAAATTTCCTGAGACAGGACTTAGGCCACTTACACTTCGAGATCGATCAAAAACAGAAGTATATTCATATTTGATATCGCTTTTACCAAAAATTAAGGCGATTACGGTCACAAACTGACGTCGATCAAGCAGTGTTCTGTTCATTTATCCATTATGATAATTATACTATTTAGTCGTGGTATGAAATTTGGAAACGTGTTCAGGAAACAGCAATACCCTACTACTTGAGATTAAAAATGTTCACTATTTAAGAATTCTCTTTCTCTTCAAGGATGTAATTACAAGCTTGAAGATATTTATAGAAGTATGATAAACTGAAAAAACAAACACCAACAAAATAAATCTTCTAGATTTCTTTTTGTTAGTGATTATAAAGATTAAGGAATTTCACCACAATTTAAACAAAACATAAAAATTACATGTACTTGTATAAATTCACTTTTTTTCTCACTAGGAATGAACGATAAGAAGGTTCACGCGTTCATTCTTCGTCGCATGGAGCAGTTGTCTGAGGATGAACAGGATCTTATCATCACAAAGTACCAAGGTGGTACTAACCACATGTATGAGGTAAGATGACACGAACTGAAGATCCACCGACCAGTCTTGGTGATATTGCCCAACGGTAGATGTTAGCAAACTCAATATGTACTAATCAGTGCGAATACTTTTATTGCGCAATGTAGGTGCTACCGTTTACTACGTAGATCGTATTCACTTCGCTAGATGGCGTGAAAATTTGTTTTGTATTAAGATGTATCAAAAGTCAAATATAGGAACCAACTCCTTAATAAATTAAAATTCACCTATACAGTTATTGACGGGCCTGTTAGTCTAGTGGTTAGTGACCCTGACTACTAATATAGATACTACTATAATTATGTGATCATTTGTTCTGTGTCTTTGTGTAATTTATCTATGTTTTAAGAAATATATAAGTATGTTTATCACAATCTGGTTACCAAAGTACAGACTCTGCCTAGTTTGGGGTCAGAAGACCGAGTGTGTGATGTGTTAAATATTTTTTTCAAAGTTTGCCTAATAATATTCCGATGCTTATTTAATCAATAACCAATTATATTCTATAGACTTAAACATTGTACGATTAAAATTGTGTTCCATATAATGCCTTCGAGAATAAGGTTTTTAAATAAGTATTTACTAGTGAAATATATTTTCAGACAAGTGAACACAATGCCTTCCTGATGATGTTACTCAGAGCACACTGCGAAGCGAAGCAACAGCGGCATATTCACGATACGCAGGAAAATAGGTAAGCAGAAGACATATAGAAAACTGACAATACTTTCGTTGCTACTGGAGTACTTTTAAAAATTAATTGTTTGTTAATATTATTGACGTCAGACCAAATATACAGTACTGATGAAAAATAAGTTTGTGATACATACATTATCCGTGTGGTGACAGATTAAGAATACGGAATGTCACCACCCCTATTCATACCGTGGGAGTTGTAAGAGCCGACTGAGGGAGCAAACTACGCATGACAACACCACTGCAAAGAGAAAGAAAACAATGTACTAACCTGTCTGGCCAGCGTGGTATAGTAAGCCAAAACCTCCTTATGATATAAAATGTGTGTAACTGCGTGTACCATAAAAGTATGTGAGGGCCAAAAATATGTGCCAACTGTAGCACCGCGGGCGCTTATTTGTTAAATCCAATAGTGCGCTTTTCCCTTTTCGCAAAAAGACTAAAACAATGCTACAAATAACCACTAAATTATTTTTCTTTAAATAAAGGTCAGAGTTCCTGAACCAATACCTAGGTGGCAGCACTATATTCTCCAAAGCGAGGCGTTCTATATCAAGTAGCTTTGATCTCCTCAAGAGAAAAGCTAGCAGGGATGAAGGGCTCGGGGCCCTCGTCATCAAAAAGGTAGGTAACACATTGGCAACATAGAGATCATGTTTACTATATATTCACTAACTACATCTTTTTTTTTTTAACTTTACACCTCTTACACACGGCTGTCTGATCCCAATCTAGGCAGAACCTGTACTATGGTAACCAGACTGCTGATAAACATACTTATATATTTCTAAATACATACATATTTTAGATAAAATTCTCCCAGACCCTGAACAAACGATCGTGCTCATCACACAAATATTTGTCCTGGGTAGGAATCGAACCCACGACCTCTGGTTTAGCAGTCAGGGTCACTAACCACTAGACCAACATCTAGTTCAGCTGTTTCCATCTAATTTTTTAAAGGTTAATTTAAAGCTTTCATATTAGCTTGCGTTTCTGAATTTTTGTACAGCTTTACACTATTGTAGTGTTTGTGATTCATTACATTACAAATCTTTGGAATTTTCGGATTTTCTCCTTTATAATATGCATGTACGAATTCTCGAACCCAATTTAAAAAAACCTCATTTAATCACTTATATTTTTGAAAAGTTACAGGTTTATGATTATAATTATTTTTGACACAAAATATAATTATACTGAGAGTTTGGCATCGATAAGTAAAAAAGAAATGGTTCCCCATACAAACTTTCATAACGATTGAAAAATTAGTAACAATGTTTTTTTATTAGTTTAACAAAAAGTATTTACTGTGCATTTGAAAACGCTTCTACCAATAACTAACCACCAATAACTCAAGTTGCATATAAGTTTCTTTGACGACTGGATGGCGTAGTGGTTTGTGTAACGGACTGCTATTCCAAAGGTCGCGGGTTCGATTCCCGCTCAAGTCAAACATTTGTGTGCATGAACATTTGATGTTTGATTTGGTCTGGGTGTTTCTATGTATAATAAGTATGTATTTACAAAAAATAAGTATATATGTATTTATATCAGTTGTCTAGTACCCATAGTACAAGCTCTGCTTAGTTTGGGACTAGATGGCGTTGTGTGTATGTGGTAGAATATATATATAAAAAAAAATTCTAACCCCCATTTTGCACCCTTAGGGGTGAACTTTTTAAAAAATCAGTGCACCTACGTCACCTAAGGATCAGTTCTGCATGCTTCTAGACCCAGTGGTTTCAGCTGTGCGTGAAACGATCTGTCAGTGAATCAGTCAGTTTCTTCTTTTATATATATAGATTTTTAGGACAGTACTTTTCATAGATAAAATTCCTGTCTTTTTCAGAATTCCTGACTTGCTATAATTAATAATAAACTCTTAAGTAGTTAAGACTCGTAACAATTAACCTTGAGTTTCTGCGTGCGTTTTAACAGGAAGCGTCCCCCGCAACAACAGCACCCACGGCTGGAGTGTTAGATCCATCATCAGAACCTTCAAACCAGGAGCTGCTATCACAAGATGTCGTCAGGAGCAAGAGTTTATCACCAGCTGTCATTGAAGGAGGTATGATTTTTTTTGTCAGTTCAAGGTTTCCACCGTGAATGGACTCGGGTCCCCGTACCAGACCCTTTAATATCGTAAAAAAAAGGCGCTGGTCTAAGGTCTAGCTTACAAAATTTGGAAATGGTGAGTTCTGACTACACTAAATTGATCAGAATTAAAAGCTAAACTGTAAAAGGAATATTTCGACAGGGTGTCAGGATCCCACACACCTTCAACTGACACCTCGAGAAATCGAAACCTTGACGTGTCAGTTGTCATGTGGACAGGTATTTGTAACTAAACAATTTTTATTTCTAGATGCCGCATCATCACCAGGCCATACAAACATGACTCCGACTCCCGAAGAAAGTGAAGACTCGAAAGATGGCACTCCGCCCGCCAATTCACCTATGATGGACATGTAAGTACAAGTAGAAAACGAGTAAAGCGGTTGTACGTCTAACCGATTTGAGTTTGTTCACTTTTGTCCATGGTCACCTGAAACTTTTCCCCCCAGAATAAGGGAGGGAAAAGCTGCCGGTATACTCATTCACTCAGTGAAAAGCAATGAAAGAATTGCATAACACTTGTTTCCTGTGAGGCTGTGGTATAACTCTGGTCGAGCCGGCCCAAATCGGCTCACTTGTGAAGAAGCATGGCTCTCTCATGGAAAAAATTTTTGAAGTGAAAACATTGGAGTTGGCCATTTTTAAACAAAAAACAAAATAATGTATTTTATGGTTTAAAAAATCATTTTTTGAGATGGGAGAAAACGATTGAACTCGCGACACTGTTACCTTTACCGACACCTCTGTACAAAAGTATATAATTTTTCACTTCTGTAGGCACTCCCACTCTGAGTGCCACTGTTGTTTTTTTATTTGAGATGAAAAGTACTTATATCCTTCTCTGTATCTTTGGTAAGGTATTTGCAAAGAAATCGAATGATAGTTCTTATATATTATATATAACAATAATAATATTTGGAACTAAATTGACACAATGAATAGATAAAAACAATCGTTGTAGCGGTTTGTATATCGTTACAAAACTTGAGCAAAACATTTTGAGTTTTTAAAGCATACACAAACTAAGTTTACATACATATATATATATATTGATGGTAACTAATAATTTCACAGCTTCCTAAAAGTGAGTGACTCTAGGCAAACGGCCAATGAGTCTGGCTCAGAGAACGATCCAACATGGAGGCAGGCCATCTATGAGAAGATTGTTCAACCGGCTGAAGTGCAAGGAGAAGGTTAGTTCATTATTAAACGATTATTTTTGTTTTTGGAAGAGGGGGCAAGCGAGCAGACGGGTCATCTGATAGAAAGTGACTACCGGCGCCCATGGACGCCTGCAACTCAGGAGTCACAAGCGCGTGTTAGGCCTTTTAGGAAGGAGTACGTTCTTTTCTTGAAAGTCGTATCGGTTCGGGAATACTGCAGACGATAACTTGTTCCATAGATTGATTGTGAAAAGCGCATTATTGCTATTATTTAGGCAATATATTTTTTATATTAATTACGATGCGGGTAGCACAGGACTAGTTATTGTGGTGAAATTTGGGGGAGGCCTATATCCAATAGTGGACGCCTGTCGGTTGTGATAATGATGATATTAATTAGCAAGTAGCCCATTTCCAAGGGGTGAAGTGACCTTACCCGTCAGGTGCAAGGGGCCTCTAACGGGCCAGATTCGAGATCCCCGTTCCTTCGCGACAACTTTCATTGCGCGATGCAGGGTTAATAGTCACCATGATTCCGTTGTATAAGGAAGTGCTTCAACAGTATCGGTTTTAAAACCGAACTCAGTTTTCATTTTAAATTTATTTGAAATACGACTGTGTAATTAAAATACGTCCTGGACACTACCAAGTTCAAAATAATCAAAGCACGATTTTATTTCAGGTGATTTATCAAGTAACTTACTGGGTAAAGTGTCATCACCCAAAGAGAAAAGGAGCAAAGAGGAATTACGACAGCTATGGAAGATGGCCATAGATCAGACTATTCTGCTTGTCAGAATGGAGAAAGAGAACGCCAGACTTAAAGGTGAGTCTCTTTCTTACTCCAGACTTCTGAGTCTACGGAAGGCGAGAAGCGAGCTGCGAGGACTGTGGAAGATGGCCATCAATCAGACATTACTTCTAGTTAGGATGGAGAAGGAGAATAATAGACTTAAAGGTAATGGTGCTAATTGGTATCTTTCAAGCCAGCTTCAGCCATTTGATAAAGCTAGATCGTCAGAATATTTCGAAGCTAATTCTAGCTTATAAATACTTACGAATATATTGTTCTGTAAGCTTAATATTAATGTAAGTATATAAAAGCTAGAATCTTCGGTGATATTTTGATAAAGCTATGCTTACAAATCTATAGTCTGTTTCTGAAATTTTAACAATAATTAAAAATTAAATTGTTTAAATATAATACTTAATATTAAGAATAGGCTATAGATAGAAAGCTACAATTATCCAGAACTCTATAAAAAAGCTGAATGCAGCTTATACTGCATCGCGTCGCTCTCCTGGCTCTATCGACATAAACAACAAATATTGAATATCTACCTCCAAATAACCCATTATGTAGCTAAATATATTGTTATTATTTATTTTTATTTATTATTATAAGCATAGACCACTTATTAGCATTGTATTATGTGTAACAATAAAAATAGGCTTAATGCAAGCTATTTTAAAATGAGCTTAGTTTGGCCTTTCATGGATTGAGCTTAGTTCGAGCTATAATAAGCTTATTATTTTAAAAAATTGTAAGGATATTAATGCTATTTTTATTTCTAGAAAGCGAAGAGTCTTCAGCGGTTCGGCGTATTAAACTGGAGTATCATGAGTTAGGGGTCTCTGATACCGGGGTCACGTTGATGTGGGATTCTCTGCTCTCAAGAGACACCTCTCAGCCTATGGCCAAAGTTGACAGACACATGCTCACGCAGGCTGTTATGCAAGGTTAGATTTTTCTTAGATATGTTTTCGTTCTGAAAGAGAGAGTTATTAGAAGTAGTAGTCGCACATGTAGAATTCCTATTATATTTGATAATTCATTCTCGATTAAGTTTATAAACTTCCTAACATCATCCTATGATCCTTAGAGGCGAAGCAGTGATCAAAAAGGTTAGCGAAAGTTGCAACTCGCAAAATGTCCAGCGTAGTAGTGTCCAGTTTGCAGAATGGCTGGTGCCAAAACCGAACTGCTTGGGTTGTAGTAGTTGAACTAATCTACCAGCTAGACGCATTTTTACTTCGAGCCGAATCGCACCATGTGAAGGTCAAAAAGGGGCCCCCTAATTGCAAATTTGACGACTTCAAAATTGAACAGTTGGAGATTTTGCAAATTGGACATAACGCCCAAACGCAGTGAAAGTGATGAAAACAATTATTTAATTATGGTGATTTTCAGGTGTCCCCCGAATGACCCGCGGCGGCGTGTGGTACTTCCTGGCCGAGCAGGCATGCCTGCGCTCCGGCCCGCCTGACACGACGGCTTACCCCAACTACCACACACCCTACAAAACACTGCTGGGAGGGCTTACTAAACATCAGCACGCTATACTAATTGATTTAGGTACGTATCTCGAAATAGATTGCTTTCCTAAATAGATATGATTCCCCATTGATGGTTGACACGTATTGAGTAAATTTTTTTGTGTTCTGCAAGATATGCTTTGTTTAGGTCTAGATAATACTTTGTACTAAAACATAACATATTAAAACTTTAATAAATAAAATATATTAAATTATAAATCCTCACATGATTTCATCATCATCATCATCAACAGCCTTTAATAGTCCACTGCTGGACATAAGCCTCTATCATGTGACATAAACCTCCTTTCTAAGGAGAGGCTTATGTCACATGATTTAACATACAATATCATTTTAAAACTTTTACTGTTGTAGTTATAAATTCATTCATATTTCGCAGTATTATTGTCAATAAATGCTCAGCTCTGTGTAAGATTAATTGTTAATCAAGAAATTACGGACATAGTTTTAGCTCCACCATCTAGGCACCACTACATGGTCCTTCGAGCCGCATAATATGAATAATGTGTAACACATGGGCGGGATAAGTGGTATAATAATATTATTTATTTAAAACTCTTCTTTTTCTTAACAGGTCGCACCTTCCCGAAACATTCATACTTTGCATCAGCATTAGGTCCTGGTCAGCTCTCTTTATACAACATTCTGAAGGCGTACTCTCTGTTGGACCCTGACGTGGGATATTGTCAAGGTCTCAGCTTTGTTGCTGGGGTACTTTTACTGCATGTGAGTCTAAGTTTCTCGTTGGGTTGCACGTGTCATTAATACGGTTTAAGCCATAAACCCATAAATATATGCGCATCTTGCATTATGCGAGATTTACTAAAGAAATATTTAAGAAAAGCTTTTAAAGTTTACAGATTCCGCTAAATAAATGTATGTGTCCGGTAATTATAATAATATAATATAATGTACCTCACTCATCTCATCTAATTAATGGATCCCTTTGAAATGGCTCATAACAGAACTTATGGCCGATCAGGAAAAAAAAGCAAAATAAAATTCATTCAGTTCAGTTTTTAAGATATTCATATTTTCTTTTTAAGGACAACATATATTTATCTTATTTTACATTCATGTACGTTACAAATGAAGGAATCATATTAGTTGTTTATAGTTTTATTTTTATAAGGTAATTATGCTCATAGATATGTATTTATTGGTATGAAAAAAAATCAAAAATATTTCTCGAGAAGAATAAAAATAACATACCCTACTAGTTACTATTTCATTTTACATAAGTTTTAGTTTTTGTTTCACTTTAATAGATGGAAGAAGCAGAAGCATTTATACTTCTTAGACACCTGATGTTCAGAAGAGGTCTTCGAAAACAATACCTACCTGATATGAGTGCCCTTCAAGTGCAGGTAAAGGATTAATATATTTTTCACAATATCGTACATTGCATGATCATTTCTTCCTAATATACTTACTTCCTTCTCCTTCTTAATCTTCTTATTGACACGAAAAAGAAATAAGACATACACTATACGAAAAGTCTATGAAAGTGGACAAGCTATTCGCAGCCAAAGTAAAATAATCAGTTTAGACTTTGCGAAGGCCTTTGATCAAGTATGCCTTTAAAGTATTTACACAAAGTTCTCAAAAGAGAATGCGAATGCCTTTATAACTTTTGACTAGCAAACTTGTTTGACATGACAGCAGATCAATTTAAATGGATTAGGTCATTGTAGAAAACGGTTGCGTTGACATTACACTGGTATCCCACAAGGAGCCATACTGTCCCCAATATTGGTTTCGTTACACACATCAATTGTATATTGTCTGTTGGTGATATTAATTAATGTTCATTCGAAGTTAAGAAGTAGTCTTTTGTAGAGGAAAAGATATTTCCCTGCTGTAGCGCATTATCATTTTAAGTTTGTGTTTATATTTAAAAACAATGTATAGTACATATTATCAGTATGTATATCTCAGTGTATAATCTTTATTTTTTAAATAATAGTTTTGTTAACTAAATGATAAAAAAATATTGTTAAGGTACTACCATTGTGAAAGAATAAATTTTAATATGAAAACGTGACAAATAAACATGAAAAATATTCTTGTTCTTAATTCAGCTATACCAACTATCTCGACTTCTCCGTGACCACGAGCCCGAGCTACACGCTAAGCTGGAAGCGCTGGACATCAGCCCCGCGCTATATGCAGCTCCGTGGATGCTGACACTCTTCACCAGCCAGTTCCCGCTGGGATTTGTTGTCAGGGTCTTTGGTACGATTCTGCTTTGTCTTATTACTGGGAAACATAGCATTTTTGCAACAGACTTTTTAAATTTAACTTGTATTTTTGCGTTTGGGAAAGCTAACCAGTGTTTTGGGAAAACATATCAGATTGAGTAAATTGATGAGCTAATTTAAAATCTAGTTTATAATTTACTATATTTATTTGGGTTTTAACAGCTTTAAATGTAAAAAAAATAGTCTTAGCAATAGTTTATGCCGAATGTTACAAAAGTGTGTGAGCAAATATTTAACAATTATTGATTTTTCATAAGTTTATTTTAAAAACTTTTTCCTTCATCAGTCTTACGAAATATTAGCTTTCTTGTTATTTTTTAATAGCTTAACTTTCCAAACCACTTACAATTTTCGAATTCTAAGCAATTTTCACAAAAGATCTATCTTGAAATAGTTTTTGAGAGCTACTTAATGTATGTTGGTTAATATTTTCTTCCAGACCTAATCTTCTTGGAGTCTTTGGACATAGTGTTTTCCTTCTCACTCGCTCTGCTCTCGGCTCACAAGGACGGTCTCATGTTGTGTGAGAGTTGCGAAGAAGCTGCCGAATACCTCAAACACAAGCTGCCAGATATGGACAGTGGATTTTACGAAAAGGTTATGAAGAAGGTAGGTGTTGTAGTTTTATTTGTGTAAGTTATTTACCTTCTGATAACGAATGGGAAGAACAGAGAAGAGTTAGTTTTGAAAGGTTCTTTTCAGGTTCAGTCAGTGAATTCAAAATAATTTCTTGATGGAATCTATTTGAACAGGAAGAAAAACGCACCAACATTTTGTTTTATAGTTGCGTGGGGTAGAAAAATAGTTTGTAGAAAATCTGAATTGATTTTATCATCAGAGTAAAATTGCGTATATTTATTATCCATATCCTCCCAGACGCGGAGACGTAGTTAATGCCTATAGTTTTGGCAATTATAATTTAAGGAGCTGGATGCGAGGAGCCCAAAATCGATCTAAGTGCCGTGTAATAGGAGAGGTGCCTTTGTCCAGCAGTGGAGTGCGAGAGGCTGATGATGATGATAATTTAAGTCCAACATCATTCGCCGTGAGAGAGCCATGCTTCGACGCAAATGGGCTAGCTCGACCGGAGTGATACCACGGCCTTCCAGAAAACTAGATAAGCAACTTTTTATTGCTTTTCATCGAATAAGTGAGGTTACTGGAGCCTATCCCTGCTCTCGTCCTTCTCCGGGAGGAGGGGGGGGGGGCCTCAACGAGTGGCAACCGGCAACACACTCGGTGACTCTCGAATCGCAGGACGGCGGTGACTAAAGGTTGATGTTATGTTCGTTGAAGGTGGTGATGCTGGACATCTCCCGGCAGCTGAGCGAGTACGCGGTGGAGTACGGCGTGCTGCGCGACGAGATGCCGCGCCTCGCCGCGCTGGGCGCCCACCGCCGCGCGCTGCTCGCCGCCTCCGCGCGCCAAGCCGCCGACCTCGACGTGCGTCCACTGCATTCTTTCTTAGACACAACATTTCTATGCTATCATTTGCCAGTCCCTTCCGATCCCTGGCCCGAAGTGCTCTTGTACTCTTCGCTACAGCGATCTCGGTAAAATTTCTCGTACGAGATTTGTGATGATCCTTATCTTAGTTCCTTCCTTTTATCGTATCGGTTTCCTTTTCTCAATTCACATTCTTCATTCACAGAGCTGTCATCATAAAGTAACCAGCCCTTTTACGATGTAAGACATTAAGTTGACCCCTAACAAAGGGAGATCAGGGCAGGCAAAAGATTAACCATACTGATGATTTTAATATTTTGGATCCATATTTCCAACCGAACCGAAGAACCGTGTGGTTCTCGGCGGAGTAGAATAAGGCCAACCCATCTCTTCCCGTGGGTGTCGTAAAAGGCGACTGAGGGAATCTTTTGGACTGTTTATCATCAGACAGTATATGTACAGTCCGTGCGGTACTTCTCTTTGCGGTTGGAGAGGCCACCAGGGCCTCTCCAACCGCTGGATATTGGTACATACCGCAGTCTAAGTCCTGTCTCCCATCCTAGTACTCCCCCACCCTAATTTTTCCTCTCTCACCCAATCCTCTCACCCCCGATGTTTTCTTTTTTCCCTTTTCTATCGTATAAACGACTACATTCCCAAGGAGGGTTGGCGACAGGCAGGCGGCCGGCCATAAAATTAATTAGCCAAAACCATTTTAATACAGTATAGTATGATACAAATTGAGTGCGACAGTGCTAGGGCGTACCCCGTAGGCGACGCGCGGCAGCAGCACCCGGCTACGCGAATAAGTGGACAAGGGTTGTTGCACCACCCGAGGCGGGTGCAACGTAAGAAGCAAGCCCGAGAGGTGAGGTTGAGGTATGCAAGTTGGAAAGTAGGGAGTATGACTGGAAGAGCGAGAGAGCTAGCAGATGTGTTGAAAAGAAGAAGAATAAACGTGGCATGCTTGCAAGAAACAAAATGGAAGGGTACGAAAGCAAGAGAGATAGAAGAGGGGTACAAGTTTTATTACTGCGGAAGTGATGGGAAGAGAAATGGAGGGGGTGTAGTATTGGATAGTGCCCTGAAAGAGTGCGTGACGGATGTAAAGAGAGTGAACGATAGAATAGTAGTACTAAAATTAGTATGTGAGAGCGTAATTATGAATATTGTTAGCGTGTATGCACCTCAAGCTGGATGCAAGGATGAAGTGAAAGAAAAATTTTGGGCCGATTTTGACATGGTTTTGATAGGTATCCCTGAAAGTGAAGAAGTTTTGATAGGTGGAGATTTTAATGGTCATGTGGGAACAACGAATGAGGATTATGAAAGAGTACATGGAGGAAGGGGGTTCGGAAGTAGAAACATTGATGGTGAGTCTCTGCTCCAATTTTCCTCTTCGTTTGACCTGGCAATAGTTAACACATGGTTCCAAAAACGTCACGAACATCTGATTACGTATAAAAGTGGTAGCCACGCGACACAGATTGACTACTTTGTCATAAAAAGAAGTAAGTTGGTTTGTGTCCGAGGCTGCAAAGTGGTGCCCGGGGAACCCGTAGTATCGCAACATAGATTGCTGGTAATGGAAGTCAAATGGAAGAGTTTGAGTAAGAGTAGGAAGAACCGACCTTCTCCAAGAATCAGGTGGCGAATGTTAGAGAAAGAAGAGTATGCAAGTAACTTTAAGGTAAAGGTGGTAGAAAAAATGATTAAAATGAATGCAAGGCTAGATAAGTCTGTGGATGGATGGTGGAGTGAAATGGCAAATTATATACGAAAGATAGCGAGATAAATACTTGGGGAAACAAAAGGAAAAGGTATTATTGAAAGAGATACATGGTGGTGGGGTGATGAGGTACAGAAAGCTCTAAAAGAAAAGAAGGATGCCTTTACAGCGTGGAAAAATGAAAAGGTCTGTGAGAGAATGAAGGAAGTCAAAATGAATGAATATAAAGAGTGGAAGAATAAGGCAAAAAAAGCGTTAGCGGTAGCCAGAGCTGAATCTCAATATAACATATTTAACTACCTACCACAAAAAGAACTCTACCGCATTACAAAGAACAGGGAAGAAAGAGCAAAAGACCTGAAGCATGTGAGATGTATAAAAGATGAAGAGGGGAGAGTGTTGGTTAAAGATGAAGATATAAAAAGCGATGGAAAACTTACTTTGAAAAACTTATGAATGAAAAGAATAAATGGAGCGGAGTGCTAAAGCATGTGGATGTCAATGTCGGACTGGTGAACGAGATTAGTATAGATGAAGTTAGATTGGCAGTACGAATTATGAAAAATGGAAAAGCAGTTGGCCCCGACGGTATATCAGTGGAAGTTTGGAAGCTACCGAAAGAAGACGGATAGGCGTGGCTGACTCTATTCTTCAATATGTTGTTGCTTGAAGAGGTAATCCCAAAGGAATTGTGTCAAACCCAACTCGAAACCTTGTTCAAAAATAAAGGAGATGTTCAGGAATGCAACAACTATCGAGGAATAAAGCTCATGTCACATACTATGAAAGTCTGGGAGAAAGTGATTGAGAGAAGAATAAGAGATGAGAGTCAGATAACCCAAAGTCAATTTGGGTTTATGCCAGGACGCGGGATAACAGAAGCTATATTTGCTTGCATATAGTGTTTGTGGATCTCGAAAAGGCATATGATAGGGTACCCCGAGAGGTTTTGTGGTGGGCTTTGAAAGAAGAAAGAGTGCCTGTAAAGTATGTAGAATTGATTCGTGCTATGTACAGAGAGTCTAGCACTCATGTAAGGTCGGTCACGGGAAACACTGATCAATTCAGTGTCTCTGTAGGCTTGCACCAGGGATCTCTCAGCTCAGCTCTCAGCTCTGAGCCCATACCTCTTCCTGTTGATAATGGATGCTCTGACATCGGACATACAGGAGGAGGCACCTTGGGGCATGCTATTTGCAGATGACATTGTGTTGGTGGGTGAAGATGGGGTTGAGGTCGAGAGCAGACTGGAAAAATGGCAGCAAAGGCTGGAGAATGTTGGCTTGAAAATCAGCAGAACCAAAACTGAGTACATGTTCTGCGATTTCGGCGGTCTCTCCAGTCCTGAAACCATTTCGCTGGATGGGATAGCGATAACAGTCTGCTCCAATTTCAAGTACCTCGGCTCCCTTTTACAATGTGATGGTGAGATTGATCGAACTGTACAGCATCGAATCAATACGGGATGGATGAAGTGGCGGCAGGTAACGGGAACAACTTGTGACCCCAGTTTCCCCTTAACACTGAAGGGACAAATTTATAAAACTATTATCAGACCTGCCCATTAAGAGAACGGATGAGAGACACCTGAACGTAGCCGAAATGCGAATGCTGAGATGGATGTGTGGTGTGACTCAGATGGACAAGGTTAGGAATGAGTATATACGAGGGAGTCTGAAAGTAGCGCCACTGGATGAAAAGTTAAGAAGTAATAGGTTATCTTGGTATGGACATGTCATGCGGAGGGATGAGGAAAATGTGGCGAAGAAAGTTTTAGGTATGAGAGTTGAAGGGTACAAGAGAAGAGGCAGACCGAAGAAGTGGTGGATGGACTGCGTCAGTGAGGATATGGCTAGGAAGGGAGTAAACAGTGAGATGACGCATGACAGAGTAGAATGGAAAAATCATACATACTGCGCCGACCCCAAATAAAATTGGGATAAGGGTAGGCAGATGATGGATCCATATTTCCAAAATAAATAATTTGAATTATTTCAAACCCAATATTTTTAACAGGCTTTATGATTAACTATGGTGATGTTCTAGTATAAGTAATAAGAACCTTAACCACCTCGAAGACCTTCACCAAAAGCGATTTTGGTCCACAATAGAGGCCCACCAATATCTATCAGCCACTATGACCTCACCGTTTTTCCATTTAATGTGACTAATATTCATTCTGTTTTATTTCTATTTACAGTCAGCTATGGACACCATCACAAACTACCAAAAGAATCAAACCCGTCTTGAAACGATCAACAAATCGCTTGAACAACAACTTAACCTTTTGAGCAGATACATATCTGCACATCACAAACAAGACGTACCATTAGAAATAAAAAAAATTGTACAAAATCATTCCAGAAAACTCTCTTTTAACATATTCTCCACTAAATTCTCTAATAACGAGGAAGAGAAAGAAGAAAAACCAGATCCTAGGAAAACTTTTAAAACGGGCCTTAGCACACCTAATTTATTCTCCAAAATTGGCCGAGAAGATTCTCCGAAACACATCGAAAATGATCGGCGACAGTTTATGATGAAGAAATCACTGTCCGTACATTCAGGACTGACGGCCAATGTTAAAAGTAACCAACTGAAAATTTTGGAAGAGAAGAAAGAAGGACACAAAATTGACAATATAACAGAGTCTTTCAATGATTTGGGAAAGAAAAGTACAGGATTCTTCGCCAGCACCCACGAACAGATTCGCCAAGAGAGATTAATTGAACACCAGCTTAAAAATAATTTCGATGAAAATCTTAGGAAACTTGACGAAAAATTAAACGAGAAATTATCACCGAAATCATACATCGATGATATTAACATATTTCAGAGTAGAAAAAGCATGTCTTTAAATCTGAACACTACAGTAAAAGATGCTAAAATCAACGACAGTGGGTTCGTGACTCCGTTGAGTCCTTACAATGAGAAGAAGGAAGATTCCTCATCAACGATATCACATCCTCTGAGCGGTTGCGATGTTGACATCAAATTCGATGGAACATCAACTAAATTAAAACAAATAAGGCCTATTAAAAATGTTAATAAAATGTAGTACATAAGTCATAGAAATATTGTGAGACAACAAGAAAATTAAACTAGTGGTTATTGTAATTTTTTTAAATAGTGGTGCGCTTTTTATAACTTTAAAGAAGAGAGCATCCCATCTCAAAAGCCGGCAACGCTCTTGTCAGCCTTGAGTTGCAGGCGTCCATGAACGGCAGTAGCCACTTTCCACGAGGTAACCCCTATACCATAAAAAAATCCGCCAAATCATTTCAGCGTAACAAATTCGGACAGTTTTCCGATATACCAAAAAAGCCATATATTTAGAAATCACTTTTTCAATTGACAAACAGCATTGGTTGTAATATGAATTATCTAAAACTTGATTCTGTTTTCCTGTATTAGCTTTTGGTAGTCTATAGCATAAATATATTAGAAAGGAAATGGACGTAAAGACTATTGAGTCTTAACTGGTTTTAGAATAAGACGTTTTAACTTAATACGTGAATATCAAATGTGAAGTTAGTATATGGCCTATGCTAAATCAAATTGAGATGAGTGCATAAATATTGGAAGTTACATAATTACTTCGAGAATTAATGTGATTATAGGTGTTATATAATTTTGATATGCTAAGCTTTTCGATCAGAAGTTAAATTCTCGTAATAAAAATTCGTTCAAAATTCCCGCTGACTCGAGCGGGAGGGACACCAAGGGCAGCAACGCACCTGTGACTTTTGAGTTGCAGTTGTCCATGGGCGGCGGTAGTTGCTTACCATCAGGTGACCCGTTTGCTCGTTTGGTACCTTATACCATAAAAAAAAGTTCCGATCTACTGTCGATCTCACAATATAAAGTCAAATAAACGATTAAACATCCAACGTTGACTGTAATGTGATTAAATCGTATTGTAACAGAAAATTGAATCGGTATTCTGCTAGTCTTAGTAATACTTTACTACGAGAATACCTTCAAAGACATTTGTCAGATCGAAATTGAAGTTTTATTACAAGAATTGACTTTCTGGTTTATAGTGCAACCTCTTTGAATCGTCAGTGGTGCAAATGGTCACAGACAGACTGACCATCCTGTGGTTGTACACTTTATTTCCCGAAGTAATAATAATTATTCAATAACTTAAATAACACACTAAAATATCTTTTGTTGCCAGCAGTGTTGTGGATTATACGAGTACGGTTTAAATAAATGTATAATTTAAGTATACATAGGTAGATATCGTAATAAATAGCCGCCATATATATACACATAAAAATTTGTTTTTCGAGGGACTGTTTCTCCGTCTAGTAGTTAAGTCATCATCATCATCATCAACAGCCTATAATAGTCCACTGCTGGACATAGGCATCTCCTTAGAAAGGAGGTTCTTGCCTACAATACCACACTGGCCAGACGGGTAGTTAAGTGAAAGTCCCTGAAAACATAGTGTCGCTTGTCACTGCTTCCTAAAACAATATTAAATGTAAGTTAGTAGTAAAAATATAGGAAAGAATATATTTTATTTATTGCACAATGTTGTAGTACCCGGCTGTTGATTCTACACCTAAAGCTATTATAGAAAATAATATACAGTTATTTCTTGTTTTCCAAAAATATGTTTTTCAAGTCCGAATAATATTTAACGATGATTTTAACAGATGTCGTCAAAATCTGGTGTCCACGGACTAAAGTCCGTCTGCTATTGATGCACATACTTTGTTGTATTGTTTAACTAGCTTGTCTTAAGTGGAGTTTGTATTTATACATGTTTTTGTATAATCCATAAAAATGTACTAGACGATCGCCATTTCGCCGAAATTTCATTTACATACTTTTTTGTGTAGTATTTAAATTTATTTGTAACTAGCTGGTACCCGCGACTTCGTTCGCATGGAATTTGAAAAGCGCTTACTGGGTTCGATGCCCGGACCGGACAAAAATTTCAAGGGTTTTTCTGAAAGGAAAAATAGCCTAAGTTATTCCTTATATAGACAGCTACCTGGTAGTTAAATATTATCGAAATCGGTAAAGCCGTTTAGAAGATTATCCGGAACAAACAGATAGACAGACAAAAAAAATAAACTGGTTTTTAGGCAAATGTATAGTGCAAATAACCGTGTGAGCATGAATAAAACCTATAATTTGGACATTACAAGCAGACATTTCAATTTTATTTATTTGTATAGATTTTTTATTACAGATCGTAATGATAATATTTATGACTTTAAACTATATAAAACTTTAAGGATGTGAAGAATCTGCTAGTATCTAATATTAATATACAATAAATAATTAATCAAAGAGCTTATAACATTATTTTGATCAACAGTGGGCTTCTTTTAATATTAAAGATATATTTGCTCAAAAATGATTTATTTTTGAAAATTTACTAAGGAAACATAATTATGGTTTGGTTTAATTATAGATGAATATTGTGATTTAATAGACTTAAATGAATAAACGTATAAGTGTTCTAAGTTTTGTTTTATTAATGAACTTGATAATGATAAGTAACTGGCCCAATAATTTAAGAGGTCACCTCGCCTCTTCATAATGCGTTGAGTGTTCTGGGTTCGATCCTCAGACGGGACAACACTTTGTGTGATCCACAAATTCTTGTTCTGAGTCTGGGTGTTCTTTGTGTTCGTCTCATAAATATTTGTGTGTCGACACACCATAAAATCGTAGCGTGGGAGTAGTTTAAAAAAAAAATTGCAGGTAGTGGAAGGTCGTCGATGACGAGGGTGATTAAATTATTCATTAAAACAGGTTGTTAAAATATATTAATTTAATAAAAGAAAGCGATATCATATTTAAATCCCCCTTTTATAATTACATATTTATAAGCATTTATGAAATAAAAACAATAATAATAATACTTATAGAGCCCAAAATTCATCGTGTGGCGTGCAATGGAAGAGTCCTATGTCCAGCAGTGGACTGCGATAGGCTGATGATGATTATGATGAAGCGTTTATATAAAAACTCATTATTTAACAGATTATGCGTCTGTTATAGATAACAAAATGACATAGCTTACACAATTATTGTCAAAATTGGTCAGAATGTCAAAATTTCTGTGTACAATCTAAATTATTATTTAACAAAATTATAATTAACTATATTGAAACCTAAATTTTAGTGTAAATAAATATGTAGTGAGAATACAGTTATAAAAAGTAGAATTTAAAGGAAAATTCAAGTATAAGGTACCTAATTATTCATTTCTTTATAGTATACAGGGTATATACACACATTGACTCCCATAGAGAAGTGTTAAACATTCACACTTTGCCAACTAAAATCTTAATAATAATCTCACACACGGCCGTCTGATCCCAAACTATGCGAAGTACTATGGTAACCAGACTACTGATAAACATACTTATATATTTAATAATAATCTCACACACGGCCGTCTGATCCCAAACTATGCGAAGTACTATGGTAACCAGACTACTGATAAACATACTTATATATTTAATAATAATCTCACACACGGCCGTCTGATCCCAAACTATGCGAAGTACTATGGTAACCAGACTACTGATAAACATACTTATATATTTAATAATAATCTCACACACGGCCGTCTGATCCCAAACTATGCGAAGTACTATGATAACCAGACTACTGATAAACATACTTATATATTTAATAATAATCTCACACACGGCCGTCTGATCCCAAACTATGCGAAGTACTATGGTAACCAGACTACTGATAAACATACTTATATATTTAATAATAATCTCACACACGGCCGTCTGATCCCAAACTATGCGAAGTACTATGGTAACCAGACTACTGATAAACATACTTATATATTTAATAATAATCTCACACACGGCCGTCTGATCCCAAACTATGCGAAGTACTATGGTAACCAGACTACTGATAAACATACTTATATATTTAATAATAACCTCACACACGGCCGTCTGATCCCAAACTATGCGAAGTACTATGGTAACCAGACTACTGATAAACATACTTATATATTTAATAATAATCTCACACACGGCCGTCTGATCCCAAACTATGCGAAGTACTATGATAACCAGACTACTGATAAACATACTTATATATTTAATAATAATCTCACACACGGCCGTCTGATCCCAAACTATGCGAAGTATTATGGTAACCAGACTACTGATAAACATACTTATATATTTAATAATAATCTCACACACGGCCGTCTGATCCCAAACTATGCGAAGTACTATGGTAACCAGACTACTGATAAACATACTTATATATTTAATAATAATCTCACACACGGCCGTCTGATCCCAAACTATGCGAAGTATTATGGTAACCAGACTACTGATAAACATACTTATATATTTAATAATAATCTCACACACGGCCGTCTGATCCCAAACTATGCGAAGTACTATGGTAACCAGACTACTGATAAACATACTTATACATTTCTAAATACACACATGTAATGATAAATTAGACCCAGACACAGAACAAATGATCATGTTCGTTACACTATTATCTGTCCTGGGTGGAAATCGAACCGAAGACATTTGGCTTTTATCCAGAAGTTTATTAAACGCAACACATACTTCTACTCGAACATAAAAGCATAATTCCATCCAATTGTTGTCCGTGTGGTGACAGATTAAGAATACACTGTGTCACCACCCCTATTCATCCCGTGGGTGTCGTAAGAGCCGACCAAGGGAGCAAAATGCGCAGGACAACAGCACTACAGAGAAGAAAAACTTGACACAAACCCTATACCAACCCGTCTGGCCAGCGTAGGATAGTAGGCCAAAACCGCCTTTCTAAGGAAACGCCTATGTCCAGCAGTGGACTAGTTAAGAAGCTTGTCGAAATGATAGGCGAAACGCGGGTAATCCCCGTAGATGCGCGAGAGCGCGAGGTCCTGCTCGCCACACCCAAAAGCCGCCCCTGCCTTTTACTAAATTTCGTTGTAACTATAATAGCTGTTATACTTATTTCACTCAATGTACAGTTTTAATCGTTTTAATTCAGTTAACGATAGCTTATTGCTCACAGTTAGCTGCAAAAGTTACAAAATGGCGGCTCCAACCATTAAATCATTATTAAAGATCCCGTTACGTCTCAATGTACAAAAGGATGCACACAACAAATGGCTTCAGATTGTGGAAATGGCACAAGCTACTGTGAAAGACGAAGATGAATTTCAGGTAAATAAAAAAGTCACGCATGATTTTGTTTTATGGCTAACGACGAGACGGGATACCTGATGGTAAGTAACTACCGCCACCAATGAACACAAGTACGTTACAGCTCTTTAAGTCCTTCCGCCTTCCCACACAGAAGTAAGGGGACGAGGGCAGATAAATACTTAAATAATATTGTAACAGTTATTTTTATTGTTTTCGGTTTATAAGAGTCCGTGATGATATCATTCAAATATAAAAATCAAGGCAAACCAAATTCTTGTTAGAGAACGGGTATGATGTCCACCTATTACATAGGGAGGACCCTCCGACCAGGTCATCATGCGAGGTTGACTGTGATCCAATGGTTCACCTATCGCCGAGTGTACTGTCGGTCAAAGGCTTCCCCCAAGAAGCGCCAACGATCCCAGTCTTGGACTGTCCGCCTTAATCCGCTGCCAGCTACTTTCCTGAAGTCGTACACTACGTTTGCTCAATCTCGGTCTCCACTCCAATCGTTGCTCTATACAAATGATATTTTAACTACTGAAAGTTCTCGCAATTAGCGAGAATTTTCACTGCGCGATACAGGATTAAGTGATAACTGTGCAGTTCGGTGTAGCTACGCTAGATGGCGTTGACGTTTCACATTCTTCATAGAAATTTGCCAGCTGTAAGACGGTTGTTCTCGGCTAGACCCTCTACAGATTCTCTACTACAGTGTCAGAGATCTCACCGATTCCGTATAGAATGTATTACGTTTCATAGTTCTAGTAGCAATACCACCAGCATTGCTTATTTAGGTCGAGGCATATAAAAAAGACAAAACATAAAAGTCTTCCTAAGTCTCAGTTTCCTCTATCAGCGAACATCAGCAAAAGAACGTCTCCAAGGACGAGCCCTCCCACCGCAAGTACTAGGACGATACTACGCCAGATATTGCGATCTTATTAATAAGATGTATGATGCGTACCTTAACAGCATCCATCTGCAGCGGTCACCATATATATTGGAGATCATCTCTTTGCTAATGAAGAGGTAAGATTGTTGTAATTAAACCATAAATTGCCATTAGAACATCTCCAAAGTCAAAATATCGTTATTTCATAAAATTCTTTTTTGTTCGAAATTGTCTATTACGTAAATAAGTATGACGTAGCACGTACAATAGCTACAATCTGTTTTGTCAAATATAAAGCAGAATAAATACCTATGCAAAAAAGAATATATATTATTGTGACCCGAGAGATTGATGACAAAAGAACATGACTTTTAAAAAGCTCTAAAAAGTATACCCATAAGTATAAAAGTATATGGTAAACGATAAACTCACACGCTTTTGTTTCCCTCAATTCCATCTCCGTAAAAAGAAAAATGAAAATACTATGCGCAAATGAACAAGGCACTAAAGTAGCAGAGATAATTGGGGCAGTGCTTAAAAAATAGGTAAGTTAAGTTCCAAGATAAAGCGAGAACCCTCCCATCAGGCTTAGGTAAGAAAGGGCTCTCACTAGTGAGCTGCTGCTCAATGGTTGATGTCGGGATATCGCATACAAATTGATAATTTTCCTCGCGTCATGTATGATCAATATTTAAAAAGTAGTTTGGATTGTCTGCACTAGATAGCGCTAAAGTAAATAGTTCTGTATACGTACGTTCTTATCCAGGATGTATGAACTTCGAAATGAATTGGTGCATGTATTAGTCAACGACTATATATATGTGGACGCGGCGTTACAGCAACTTAGAATGACGCCTTTTGACATAGAGGTAACTTTACTTAAAATAAATTAGTATTTATCTATGAATTAATCATTGCCGTTTACGGAGGCCTCCTCCTAGGAGAGCCAACTATCCCGGTCTTGGGCAGTCCGCATTCATCTGCTGCCAGCAACTTTATTTAAGTCGTATCTTCATCGTGCCACAGGACCACTATGAATTACCCTGCCATGAATTAATCAGCCTTTAATAGTCCCGTTAGTTAAGAAGAGGCCTCTCGTTAGTTAAGAAGAGACTCTTCTTAGAACGGAGGTTTTGGCCTACTATACCACGCATGCTAGAAGGGTTCGTATAGGGCTTGTATCAAGTTTTCCTTCCTTCCTCCGTCCTTCTCCTGTGTTGTCCTGCGTAGTTTGCTCTCTTAGACGGCTATAACGACAACCACGGAATAAATAGGGGTGGTAACATTGCCCCCTATATCAAAAAAATTACCGTTCGTGCCTTTACACATTGAAATATTCCTTCAGATAGTGCTACCATATCACTTCCCTTTGGAGTCCCGAGAAGAAGACATGGAATCGCTTTTGCAGAAGATGTGGGCAGCAGCAATTAAAAGAAAGAAACGCAAAGGGGTAAGCTGTTATAGGATACCTACATAGAAAAATTCAGATCAGAAATCATTCATATTAAACAAATATTTGCTCTGATTAGGAATCGAACCCTAAGGCAGTACCGCCCCACCTATGCTTATCAGTTAATAGGATATCCAGATTTCCAGGATCTGAATCTAGATTCTAGCTCTGTATAAGATTTTTTCCTTAAAAAATAGTCTACATCTTACTTATTTAAACAGGAAGAAGTAAACTCACTACTACCAATACCCAAAGAACCCAAAACCATTTCACAACATGGCACCTTGTTATCCCAAGTTAATTTACCTGCGAAAGAAGATGTTGTCGAGGAAGAAACACCAGGTATCTTCTGTCCTTTTGACAATCTTACTCGGAGTCACTGAATTACACCAGGTATTTCCATCATCTTCCGGTCCTTTTACCAAGTTTATTTGAGGTCTGCCCAACGTGAAGAATTGCAAAAGATTTTGTCTTGTTTTTCGTTATGGCCGGTCGCCTGCCTGATTTAAAATTAGATCTTTTTTTAAGATATAAGGGGGCAAACTAGCAAACGGGTAACCTAACGGTAAGTGACTACCGCCGACACCTGAAACACGAGAGTCACAGGTGAATCCCAGTCAGAATTAGGAGAAGAGGGGATTTGGGCTCCGGTAACCTTACTAACTCAGTACCACTAGTGCTAGTACGAGTAGTAGTCACTTCCTAATCCAATCCGTTCTCCTCTGGAACGCTCTCCCTCTAGAAATCAGGATAGCGTCCTCGCATTCTGGATTCTCTAGCAGGTCCATTACAACCTTAAAGTTTTATATATTATTAATATGTAGGTTTATGTATGTACAGGTAAATTAGCTTGGAGAAATTTTTGCGTTTGTAGTAGTGTAGTGTGCGGATAGCGTAAACTGGTTTATTCTGGTTTTGTGCGTGTTTCCACTTTCCACTATCAAGTGACGATTTTTTGCTTTAGATTGAAATATCTCGGAAACGGTGCGTCCTAGGCCAAAAATAACAAAAATTTTGACCCCCCCGTAGACCCTCCGGAGTTTTAAAAACCTAGATGAAAGGAAAAAAAAATATTTAAATATCGGTCTCTCCTCTTTGAAGTTTCACTTCTATCGTGTGTGAATCGCACACACACCTTTTTTTTTTATAAAGTCAAAACCTTTTTCTTTAAAATAAAAACTTGTTTTTATTAAAAACAAAAATCAGAGTGTTGCTAGGGATAAGTATAAAATTAAATAGTAATGTTAGGATATCGAAACATTTTTGTATAGGCCAGAACGATATAGTGGAAACGCGCTCTAAGATCTGAGTAATATACACACCACTACATATGCAAAAATTTCTCGAGACTAATTTCACTGTATGTAACTAGGTAAGTATTTACGTATGTGTATGTATTTGGTACGTATATATGTATAAATATTTTATCTCATTGTTTCTGTCTATCTTCTCAATAATTCACTTTTACTTTACATATCAATGTCTAGTGCACCTAGTCACACATTTCAACACCACCCTAAGGTAGACTGGGAGAAAATGCCTGTGGCATTAAGTCCGCCATTTTACAACTTATACTTGTGCATAAAGTATTTAAAAAAATCGGTCAGTTACAAGTCCAACTGGTGCGCCCGAGTTCCGTTCCTACCCAAATTTTACGTAGATTTTCGTGAAAATTTGTAAGTACCAAAATTTATCTTAATTTTCAACATTTTATATTTTGGAATTATTCCTGAGAAAATCGGTGGTGACGCACGGACAAACGGACAAGAAAGTGATCTTATAAGGGTTCCTTTTTTATCTTTTGAGGTACAGAACCCTAAAAAGAATTGCTCAACACCGGTTTTCCGTAATGCGGGGGTATTACTCCGCTTGAGCATCCATTTGTACCGAAGCCTGGTTTTACAGCTATAATTATTTGGATAAGTAAATGTTATCAGACGAGACCACGGGGTATATATTCGGATAATAAAAATGGATACTTCGAGTCTCGTACCTTAGTAGTTCGTGGAGTTTATAATTTGATGATATATTTACAGAACCAAGTGTACATACAATCGAAAATAAGGATCTGATTAATGCAACCATTATACAAAAGCATGAGAGATACAGGTAATTCATTATCTAAGTTATCTTTTATCCTAAGTTACTAATAAATAAATAAATAAATAAAAATAAAATAGCCTTTATTTACTCTGACCTTGCACAATTTGTATTACAATAAAATAAAAACAAAACTATACTAACTTTACTTAACTATATTATAATAACTTTACTTATTTCTATTTTCTGTATGTATAAAACTTAAATTTTGATATCAGTTACCAGGTCAGGTTGTCTTGCGACATAGGCCTCATCAAGTTCCCTCCACATTTGCCTATCCATTGCTGCCCTTCTCCAACCTTTGGGCAGATCATCTTCCCATCTTTTTTTCTGCCTTCCTCTACGTCTTTTGCTGTCCCTCAGGTACCATTCTGTTACTTTTTTGGTCCACTTTCCTGTTGTTGATCTCATCATGTGACCAGTCCATTTCCATTTCAAAGTTCGTGTTTTTACTTTAACATCTGCTACTTTGGTTATGTTCCTAATTGTTGTCGCTTTCCACTTGTCTTTTAACTTAAGTCCCAACATACTTCTTTCCATTCCTCTTTGGCATACTCCCAGTTTGTGCTCAATTTTTTGTGTTAGTGGCCAGGTCTGGCAGCCGTAAGTGAGACATGGAAGTATACAAGTATTATAAATGGTTTTCTTTTCCGAAATAGGTACAGATTTATTTTTCATAATTTCCCTGAGGGACCAGTATCTTTGCCAGGTGTTATTTACTCGTCTTTCTACTTCTTTAATTGATAGATCTTCCACAGATATGACTTGACCCAGGTAAATATACTCTTTTACGTATTCAATCTCTTTTTCGTCCACCTCAATTTTGACTTCAGTTCTATTTGTCATCATTTTTGTTTTACTAATATTCATCGTTAGACCTGCCTTTTTACTTTCTGCTGCTAGTTGTTTTAACATTGTTCTTAGTGTGATAGGATCTTCTGCGAACAAAATGAGGTCATCTGCGAATCTCAGGTGGTGTAGTTTTTCCCCGTTTATTTGAATACCGAAAGATTCCCAATTAATTCCCCTAAGTTACTAAGTAAATAGAAAATAAATTTCACGAAGACCTTACCTATAGGTAAATATGTGAAGGACACATTAATTTAAAAACTAGCTGGTAATAACGTCTTCGTTCTCGTGGAATTTGAAAAGCTCTGCCTAGCTTTGCTTGGTGTAGTATTCGGGTTCGATTCCCGGACCGGGCAAAATTTTATAGGAATTTTCTGGGGGAAAAAGCATAAGCTACTCCTTATATAGACAGCTATCTGGTTCTAAAATATTATCGAAAGTCCAGCCGATTTGAAGATTAGCCGGAACAAACCGACAGACCGCTAAAAAATATTAAAACTGGTTTTTAGGAATAGGTATCGTGCACATAACTATGTGAGCATGAAAAATACTTATTATATTGACATTACAAACAGACACTTCAATTTTATTTATTTGTATAGATAATCAAAAGAAATTTTAAGTTTATGATTGAAATTTGATATATAGATAAGTCCAGAACGCGGTATTTTTAAAGAAATTAAAAAATATTTTTAAATTTTTATGCTAAAGGGTAAGTAAGCGAGCAGACTGGTAACCTGATGCCAAGTGACTACTGCAGACCGTGGAGACCAACGACTCAGGTCATTGCCGGCCTTTGAGTCTCCCCTCCTCAGAACTAAGTAGGGGGAGGGGTTGAGAATTTCCTCCGGAAGCCTCATCCACTCGGTGACTTTGCTAGTCACCGAGTAACTTGTACTCAAAGCAGTCTCTGTCGATAGTTTCCCTTTGAATTTAACTCTTCCAGGCAATGGTTTGCAGAACAATTCAGGGCTAATTGTATAAGGAGGAGAACGTACTTTGCTACTGTAGTTGTTGAACCATCGCCTGAGTTAAAGTACAAAGCTGCTAAATTAATACAAAGGGTTTACAGGTAATAAAATAAAACTAAAGGTTGCTTGCACACTTGATTAATTTTGACATGTTATGGAAATCCAGATAATTTAATATAATTTCATTTCATAAAATGGATTAAGGGAGCTTAAAATTTAAAAAAACCTCCCAAGTAAGTTCCAAGGAGTTCCAAGAGTTTTCTTGGGAGTCTCATTACTCGGTGTGTTCATGGGTCTTTTCTGTTGATCCTGGTGTAAAGGAGTAACGTTAGGGAACCTATGGCAGGGATTAGTCCCTTTAAAATCATCATCATCCTTATCATCAACAGCCTTTAATATTCCACTGTTAGACATAGGCCTCTCCTTGGAAAAGAGGTTTTGGCCTACTATACCACGCTGGCCAAACGGATTGGTATAAGTTTTGTTTTAAGTTTTCCTTCTCTTTGCAGTGCTGTTGTTCTGCGTAGTTTGTTCCCTTAGTTGACTCTTACGACACCCACGGGATGAATTGGGGCGGTTACACTTTGTATTCTTAATCCGTCACCACACGGACCGTACCCAAAAAATATCGATATAATTTAAAGTTATTCTATATCAGTTACCCATAGTACATATCGACGTGAAGAGACTAAGCAGGCTCTTTACTGCAATATTCATTTATTAGTCAGATTTATATCACCTTTTCTAATAAGGCCTTCCTTATATTCTCTATAAACAATACACATTGTTCATAGAGAATATATGAAAATAAAACGTAAACGTATAATGGATACAAAGAGGAACATCTTACTCGGCCTCGTACCAGACCCGTGTCCAGGTAGACTTGACTTCCATGAAGAAAATAATAAGGTAAAACTGCAATTTTTTTATCGGTATTTCCGGACTAACCCATCCAAACCTTCAACAAAAAAAAGGGCCGTAACTCCTAAGTTGCAAGCGTTCGTGAGCGGCGGTAGTTGACTTGCATCAGAAGACTCGTCTAGTCACTTATATAATAAAAAAAACTTTAAATGACGACCTGGGCCTTAATTCTGCTATTTTATGTTAACACCAAGCCACTGTCATTCCATTGAGATGCCATTGAGACGCTATTGACGTCGGTCAAAATTTTAGTATTGTACCAACATTAATTTACAGTGTCAATAGACCAAACTGTTACAAACGTTCCACATTGCAAAATAATCATCCTGAGCACCTGGAAAGTTGGCGCTAAACTACTGTGCCCTTTTCGAGACACTTTCTGCCCCGCACAATCAATCTGTGGAACAAGGTATCGTCTGCGGTATTTCCGGACCGATACGACCTTCAAACCGTTAAGATAAGAGCGTACTCTTTCCTAAAAGGGCGGCATCACGTTTGTGACTCCTGAGTTGCAAACGTTCATGGACGGCGATGGTCACTTTCCATCAGGTGACCCGTCTTCTCGTCTGCCCCCTCTAACATATACAAAAAACAAAGACGTCTACGACATTTGTATCAGTGACAGGTCATCGGGCCATGGTCTTACATAGTTAGTAGAATAGGAAAACTGCAAAACTCCTCCTACGACATTTCATCGACAGTCTATTGATACAATATTAAAATAGCAGAATAGAGGCCCTGATTACCTAATCAAAACTCCGGAGAGACAAATGTGTTGTCGCCCTTAGAGTGCCTCCTGAATTAGGGAAGGGGGTTGTTCCTTCGGCAATCTCACTCACTCAGTGGAAAGTAACGAAAGAATTGCAGCTTTCTTTGAAGCCGTGGCACCACATCGGTCGGCAGGTTCGTATGTGTGTAACACAGATTACCCCCTTAACAGATTAACCCCTACCCTTAGAGGGTAATGTGTGGTGCGTAAGCATGGCTCTCCCACGAAAACTAGATATATACATAGAAGTCCTATCGATCTTCTTCCAGATATACCAAAAACGTCGCGAAACAAGACTAAAGATCCAAAAAACATTTTTGATCGAAGAGGAAAGAGAAAACGCTAGACTTATATTATTCAAAAAGGATAACCAAATATCTGACATCACTGATCAAGTGCGAGAGTGGTTTAAAGAATGGTTAGTGCCCATCCTACAATAATTAAAATTATAGTTATTCACACATCTCACACACGGCAGTCTGATCTCAAACTAGGCTGTTGTTACCACATTGCTGATACACATACTTATACATTTCTGAATACGTACATATTATGTATTAATTACACTCCGACACAGAATAAATGATCGTGCTCATCACATTATGATTTGTCCCTGGTGGGAACCCACGTCCCCGACTCAGCAGTCAGGGCCACTACACCACCAAACCAACAGTTCCGTCCCTTTGGATTACTTCTTTTAATCCTATTCTTCTTCTTCATCATCTTTTTTTTAATACTCCTGATGTGTTTTTGGGGTTTTTTACGGTATAAGGCAAAAACAAGCAGACGGCTCACCTGTGACCACCACTGCCAATTGACACATGCAAGTCAAGAGGCACAAATACCTTGCTACCCTTTGAGTGTGCCAAGAATTATATCACTTCGGTCCATGACCGCAGGGTACGTTACGGGTTTCTCCCCTCCATCCGCTTTAGTGGCCAGCTGGGAGGAGGCGACGTTCACGTGTGCCAGATGTCGCTTTAATAGAGAATTCACCCAAAGGAGCTGCCCACGCTATAGAGGGAAGGGTCGGAGGGACGTTGGGAGGGGTCCGGATGTCTTAATATCAGCTATTCCCGGAATTCTCCTATCTCAGGCGCAGAGCCCAGGCGTGTGGTTTTAGTCGGTTTGATCCCACACACCGCACACATACCCCGGTGGAGCACAACTTCCACAACTAAAAACAAGCCCACTCAGGTCGAGCGCGCTCATTTGTGTCGGAGCCTGGCGACCCTCAGTGGAATGTTATTAGTGTTCTTCATTAAAGAATATCTGTTACAGGTACTACGGCTATGGGTTTTTTCCAGAATATCCGTATGAGTTAGAAGGAGGTACAATATTGGTCATAAGGGGGCAGTATATAACTATCGAAGAGAAGCAAAAAGAAGATGCGATCCAGTCGAAGCAGCCGAAGGATAAGGAACAGGTATATCTTATTTGTCTCTGTGGCTTAGGATTTTACTGTTAACTTTTTAGCCGATTTCAAAAAAGAAGGACTTATTCTACGGGATATCTTTGCTATTAATAAACAACAATAAACTTATTGCGGCTTGGCTTCACTAGGTCCGCGTTTCGTTCGTTATGTGGTAATGTCACGCGTCGTGTACGTGATACACCTTAAGTAGTGTATAAAAGTAGTTCATAATAGAAAGTTATAGCCTTGTTATTTCTGTTGAGGTGATGAATAATAACGCAGTTGATTTTAGTTTTAAGTTTTAATTCTGAGATTTTGGCGTTGCACATGTCACATGTTATGTCAAAGTCGAGCTGAGTAGTGTTGCTACATAAAAACAGTATTATACCATTATTATACTAGAGAGGGACTTGGCGAATATTCTTATAAAATTTACTAAATCATAACTTTAACAATTTCTATCACTATCACTGAAACAGCTATCAAACCAATCAAACCTTTCGTAATTGAATTGGTTAAATATTTTTTTAATGCACCCAACCTTCAGTAGGTACCTACATAACGTTGGTTACATTGTGAATAAATCTTAATATACTTATTTTTCGAATGTTATCGTTTATGATTTTTAAGCTATACATTTGTTATAATTTTTCCCTAATCTCTAAAATTACTGGGTGTTTGGTAAATCATTTCGTTCTAAGAAAACTCAAAAAACTTTTACTTGTTTAAAGTCCGTCCGTCCGTACTTTTACTTACCTTTCTTTTGGCTAGCTAACGATAGTTTTAATACTGTATCAGAAAACAAAGCCATCCCAATGGAAATTGTGTTTTAAAAAAATTATCGTTTCATTTAGTTGTGCTAGCATGTTGGAGTATGAATGACCGCGTCTTATTGATCATTATATGTATTATCTGTTTTCATTTTTATCAAATAATGCTTCAGATAAAAGCAGAAAAGGCTAGAGCGAAACAAGAAGCCAAGATCAAAGCAGAACAAGCTCGTATTGCAAAGCAAAAGGAAGCTCTAGATGAGTATAAGGCTAAGATGAATCCGCTCACAGATCCTGGATACCGGGTAGAACGTTCAGAGGTCGTACCAGAACTAGTTAATGTAAGAAATCTTTTTTGTTCAATTTATAATACCAAACTTCTTTCTTTTCTCCTTCTCTTGCCCTGAATTTTTCATTAATTAGCTATTATTATTATAATCAATGTCAATGGAAATCATTCCTCTGTAAAAAACGTACAAAATGTATCTTTCTTAGAAGAGCTGGTATTCATAAGTCTTAATGGATGATGTACTGATTTCATCATCATCATCAGCCTATCTTAGTCCACTGCTGGACATAGGCCTCTCCCATTGCACGCCACTTAGATCGATGTACTAATTTAATATTGGCATTTTCTCAAAAGATGCTTACAAACATTTTTCTTCTAGTTTTCATTCTTTCATAAGTGAGTTATTTCGATGTTCACTACATCATCATCAACATCCTTTAATAGTATACTGGACATAGGCCTCTCCTTCAAACGGAGTTTTTGACCTACTATACCACGCTGATCAGACGGGTTGGTATAGGATTTGTGTCAAGTTTTCCTTCTCTTTGCAGTGCTGTTGTGCCGCGTAGTTTGCTCCCTTAGCCGGCTCTTACGACACCCACGGTATGAATAGGAGTCACCACACGGACAAGTTCAGTACCTACATACATACAAGATACTATTGTAACACTTTTTTAAAAGTTCATTACTTTATTAAAACGTTTACACTCGAGGTTGTTGCCATTTAAATGATAATAATATTCTACCACATTCACACAACACCATCTAGTCCCAAACTAAGCAGAGCTTGTTCTATGGGTACTAGACAACTGATATAAATACATATATATATTTTTTTGTAAATACTTACATAATATACATGGAAACACCCAGACTAAATCAAACATTAAATGTTCATGCACACAAATGTTTGACTCAAGCGGGAATCGAACCCGCGACCTTTGGAATAGCAGTCCATTACACAAACCACTACGACATTCGATCGTCATATAAACAGTATATTCATTCTGGACGAGTGTAAAATTACTGAATAAAGAATACTGCTTATGATAAGATGCATCAAAGTTGGGTTGACTTTAAAAGTGCATAAAAGTTTTCACAAAATGCAGGTGATGCGAGAATATAGGTCAGCCTGGTCGATCTACGACATGTTGCCCTCCGCAGAATGTGGTGAAACGATTTATGGCTATATGAAGCCATTACTCACCGAAGCCCTTATGAGTCAACTGCATATTGACTGCAGGAAATATGTGGATGAGCTGATGAGGTGAGTCCAATGATCCGTTAACAGTAGTTTCTTATGGTTATAGTTAAAATATAAAACACATTATCGTTATCGCTTTCTGACCTCTTTCCTGAGTCTCGAATGGGGTAACTAAACTGTGACTACAGTTTTCCTAAGTCTTGGATAAGAAACGGTACGGATAGAGTCGCATTCACAACTACTGGAAATGGGACTGTTGATGACCTTAAGTTGATATTTGCTTGTAGGTAGGTATATTGCTATGATTTTAAATAAAAGGACACGACTATTTACTACAATGTATATGAGGCAACTGAATCATAGATCTTTTACATTAACGATATAATATGAAATGAATGAAACGGGCCTAACAAGGAGTCATCACTCAATTATTTCTCCTGGCTGGGCATCTACCCACGACCTCAGAGTTAGGACTCAGGATCCCTAACTTTTTTTTTACGGCATAAGGGAGCAAACGAGCAGAAGGGTCACCTGATGGTAAGCAACTGCCGCCGCCCATGGACACCTGCAACTCAAAAGTCACAAGTGCGTTGCTGCCCTTGGAGTCCCTCCCGCTTAGAGTCAGCGGGATTTGGACTGTGCTAACCTCACTCACTTACTACTAAACCGACAGGCCAGTCATTGATATTTTGTTAGGTTTTTACTACTTCAATGACAAAATAATACTGTGTTTAGAATTCTAAAAGGACATTTCTAAATCTACCTTCAAAACTGATTTAAACGAAGCCCATTTACTTTTATCCAGTTTTTTTTTGATATTTGTTTTTATTTTCAGATTAGACCTTAAACTTCTGATCGAAGCACATCAGAAGTTGTACAAAAGTATTGGCAAGAAGTTCCCAAAAATAAAACCCAGACCTAAGCCAAAGAAAATTCCGGTATCAAAACCTCTCATTGTGGACCAGAAGCTACTGAATAATATAGAGGTAATCCTATAGGACAAAAGCTACTGTTAAATTATTTCGGTCTCTGGTTAATGTAGACTTCTCAGTAAAAGTCAGTTCGAGTTAGAATACTGAAGCTATTTCTACATATCACACATCAACAGTACTCTTCTGGACATATGCCTCTCCTTAGAAAAGCAGTTTTGGCCTACTATACCACGCTGACCAGATGGGTTGGTATGGAGTTTGTTTCAAGTTTTCCTTCTCTTTGCAGTGCTATTGTTTTGCTCCCTTACTGGCCTCTTACGACACCCACGGTAAAAAGGGGTGGTGATACTCCGTATTCATCATTCATCCTTCACTGTCCTGGTTATGAATACTACCACTGCTCAATCCATCTTACCAACTTTTCCCTCCATATTGAACTCCCGATTTCCCATATATTTATTTTAGTTTGTATATATCCCATATTTGTATATAGGGGGGTAAACAAGCAGACGGGTCACCTGTGGGTAACGGTAACGGTAAATCAGAAGAATTCCGTTGTCGCCTAGACATACACATAAACAAAAAATAATATTTTACACACATAAAAAAGTTTACACTAAATTGGCCCTCGGAATGTATTGATTGTAAATCCTAAACGCCACTTATATTGTTACTAAATAAAACCTTAAAACTTTCAAAATAAGGTAGCATTTCACGCGACCCGCATTGTTCTACGGTAAGACATCGTAGTTATGTAGTACTTTTCCCATTTATCGAAAAAAAATGGAATAATTTTAAGTAAATAATTTATTTGACTGATACTCTGAAGTCGTACATTACTATTAGTGAACATTTTATTGTAAAATGTACTCTTGTATCCAAAATATGTTGTATATTCAATAACTAACTAACTGTAAAACAAAATTACATAATGTGATTAAAAGATAATATTTGTTGACCCTGAAATAAAATGTATATATTGTATAATTGCCATTTTGTGTCTTTTTGTAGATTGCAATTTTTCAAATTAAAATGTATTTGAATATTTATGTATCTTTCAATAACGCATTTTATTAAGTCGGATAAATGATTTGATGATTTGTATTCACCTATTTAACGAAAGCTTATTTCATTAAATATGTTACTACCTACTAACTGGCGTAAGACTTGCAGAAGTATCTGATTTTCACTTACGCACCTTAGTTTGTCAGTTTGTCATTTCATTTTTCGTTAAAACTAATGCTGTGATCAGAAATATCTCCAAAATAAGGTCATTAAGAAAATATGCGACCAAAAAAATCCCCTCTTTTTTGCTATTGGTTAAGAATCATAATACAAAAAAAACTGTACTAAATAAATAAATAATAATCATTTTATTGGAGTAACCATCACTCATTGCTTGTTAGTAATACATAAAACTTATCCTATGTTAGTAGTGACAATTTACAGTATTAATATTTTTATTTATGCACTCCATGAGAGACGGCGCTGCAGTGACCAATGTACCTGCAATCTAACCTCTCTGTGATCATGGCTAGTATGCTGTTAGAGCTAGCCCGCACCCTGCGCACCAAAGATGCACACCGTTTTCGCAAGCAGTCCACTCGCGACCCTGCGAACATCCCGGACGCACTACAGAAGCGGGGTAGCCCCAACAGCACCCTAAACGCATTCTTGTATTGGATACGGAGGGAGTTGTGTGCTTTTCGAGTATATGTAGCCCACAGGCTGCACGTATAGAAAGACGTGCTAAACAGATAATCATTTAAAAAACCGAAATCATCGATAACTATAATATCGCTACGTCGAATGAATTAAAATAAGATTGGCTACATCACTATCAGAACCAAATATGAACTGTGACTTTACTAAATACTTTCGTGCAAAATGTATCGAAATATTTCTGCACGAATGCAGTTCATTGCGTGCTCTCGTGGTTACAATGTAGTTGGCACTCAATTTTGATACGCAATGTATCATACATTGCTTTAATAGATTAGGTCATAACGGTTTTCTATCTTGTATTACATTATACTTTGTAATTTTTTGTCAATATTACTTAAAAATAAAGGTTTTAGACCTACCGATGGAATGTTATTGTTGCCTTTGTACAAATTCCAGTCCTGGCTTTGTTTTTGATACGCAATTATCGCGCAATTCGCCATAGCGATATTTTTTGTGGAACTGCGTTCCCGGCGAAAGTAATACGCGAGTACGAATGTTTTCAGAGATTTATTAACGTTTGCTCGTAACTCCGGTGCGCCTGCCCGCCTTCATCGCATTTCTAGTTTATTCACTGTTCTGTGATGATTCCTAAAGTGCCTAGTTGACGGCTAAAATATATGTTATAGTGCTAGTGTTGTGTAAATGTCTTGATTGTTTTAATAACATGTACAATAGTTTAGATAATAAACGCGTAGCCTAAACAATGTTATAAAATAAAGAATCACTTACTTCAATTACTCCTAATTGTTTTTTTAAATTAATATATTTTCTATAGTTTTTTTTATGATGTCGGGTGCAAGCGAACAGTCGGGTCACCTGTTGGAAGATGACTCCTGCCGCCCATGAACGTCTGCAATTCAGTCAGTTGTTGGTCTTAAGGAAGGAATAACTACGCTCGTTTCTTGAAGGTTCGAAGGTCATATCGGTCTGGAAATACCGAAGGATTTCATTTCAGAATGAAACTCTTTTTCAAACTCTTATCGAAATGCTAGTCATCCTAAAGCTTAACTGTGGACGTTGTTCTGTGAATACAATTACCAGTCACAATATACAACGTTACTTCTTAAATACGTTTCACTCACTTCTTCGAACCTCTCCGGAAATTTATGCATGTGTGCATGTGTATTTATAAGATGTATTTATTTATTTTCAGGAAATCTTCGATTTAGGTATAATAAGTAAACCAACAGCGAAACTAAGTGATGTTTTTGGTGACATGAACTATGCCGCTTACGATTATAACATACGTGATCCGGATCCTAAGTAAGCGCCGTAACTAGTTTTTGTTATTTACTATTATATCTTATATAAAAATATAGAAAACTGTTAATTTGGTTTCTGTACGCACAAATCACAATAACTTGTGTTAAATCATATGATTTAGAAATAGTTTCATCACATATGTGAGTAATTTACAAAACCACTGCTACTTAATTATTATTATTATTACCTAGCACAAGACTCGCGAAAGGTCTAAATCTAAAAGAAAGGTCGTAATATTTGATAAAAAGAATTTCGATTGATTTTAATGCCACTTATCTTTGTCTATGACGAAATCACTATCACATGTAAAAACGCTGTGACTGAAAGTAATCATTTCATCAAATGAATAATATTTAAAAGTAGCAATAATTGCCATATCTACCATGCACCGATTGAGTTCAAATTAGGACCCGTACAACACATTTTAAAAATGGTTTCTATCTACTTTTTCACTTCATTTTTGTCCTCATTTCTCATCAATGCAATCCTAATGTGCCGCATTGAAGCGACAGGGCACAGCTATTGTTTTATTTAATCATCACAAATACATACTTTACTCTACCTGTCTAATACACAATTCTATATAGGATAAAAACTACAACACAGCACTATGAGGGGGGGAGGGAATATCATTAAAGCCCAGCGATATTAATGTGGTATTTACAGATTCCCACCACCCGGCTACGCTGATTTCAAGCAGCGTGTAATGCTGTCCTGCATACTCGGCTGTGGGATCCAGCCTGGAGCCACGAAGAACAACGGAGTGATGCTCTTAGGTCCTGTGGGCAACGGAAAATCGTTCCTAGTCGATGTGGTCGCTGGAGAACTTAGTACGAAGATATTTGTTTTCAACCTTTAGGGTCTTGACATAGGTTTGCTTGCGTTAAAGATTTTCTTATATGCCTAGGAAATAGTTTTCTTTATGGTAAGCGGTAGTGGTATGGTAAGTACGTGGCTAACGAGCAGGTAAGCGACTTCCACCGCCCACGCTACTCAGGAGAGACAAATGCGTTGCCACCCCTTACGCTATGTAAATACCATTTAATAAAGCTATAATGTTCATGTATACATTTAGCCCTGGCGTAGTACAACAAGCCCTACAAGTACAGCTCAAGTTTTACTGGTCAACCAAATAAATGTAACGTATGTAAGAATTTAAGAATTTTCTGTGAAGCTATGCTATCACCATCAGGTAAACCGTCAGCTCGTTGTTGTTCCCCCCTGCCCCCCTATACCATAAAAAGAAAGTTCCCAAGGAGTGAGAAAATACAAACCTACAGAAGCTAGTAATTAAAAAATATAACGTGATGATATTGACTGCGTAAGATAAGATATATTGATACTAAAGCGAAGTCACGGGCAAAAGCTTGTACTATATATGTGGTGACGGATTAAGAATACGGCATGTCACCACCCCTATTCATCGCGTGGGTGTCGTAAGAGCCGACTAAGGGACGAAACTACAAGACAACAGCACTGCAAAGAGAAGGAAAACTTGAAACAAACCCTTTTTTTTTTTTTTTTTTAACGTGTGGAAATCCCCTCGGACCGTCACCCCTCCGGGGTTTGCGGCGGGGTGGTGTGTCGGACTCGGACCGACTAAAACCACACGGTGTGCCACTCTGCGCCTGTAACAGGAGGGATCCGGAAACAGCTGTTATTAAGACATCCGGACCCCTCCTAGCGCCGGCCCGCTCCTGTTGCGGGCCCCGTCTCAAAATTTTCCTCTCTTTAGGCTACGTCCGGCACACGCGGACGCCGCCCCCTCGCGGCTGGCCAAACTAATGCGGGTGGAGGGGAAACCCACCCCGTCCACCCGCGGCCACACTCAGGGCGGCATGAGGCGGTGATAGGCCCGCCTCCGCCGCCCGGTTCGCCGGCGGCGGATCGGGTCCGAGTGGAGGTCGTCCTCCCGGGCCTTCTCCGCCGCCTCCTTCTGCGAGATTACCTCTTCGCAGAAGGTTGCGACCGCGGTAAAACAACTGTCGCTACCGGCCATGGAGCGTACTACGGCCGGTAGCGAGAGATCCACTCCGATGACTGCAGTGAGGGCCCGGCGCTGCGTCGCCCATGCGGGGCACACCGCTAGCGTGTGCTGGGCCGAGTCCTCACTGCAGTCGCAGTGGTGGCAGGCGGGACTCAGTTCCCTCCTAGCGACCGAGTGCAGGTACTTTCCGAAGCACCTGCGTCAGCCGGAAGGAAAGGGTCCCGTGCTGCCGCCCTGCCCACTCGGCGATGACCGGCTGTCTCCAGCCGGAACGACCAACGAGCCATCGTGGCTCGGCGAGCGGCTTCGCGCCACTCGCGCACATCCTCGGGCGGAGGGCGAAATCCGCTCTCCGCCCGGGAGTCAGCCACTCGCCGATAAACTTTGGCGAGCACTTCCGCCTCCAAATCCCACGGGGGAGTTCCGGCCAACGCGCATGCCACCTCCGTCGAAACGGTGCGGTAACCGTATGGCTCTAACCGCCATTACCCTCTGAGGGCGCCAGAGGCGTACCCTATTTTGGGCGGTCAGAGCCGCCGCCCACACCGGTGCACCGTACAGTGCCATTGACCGGACAACCCCCGTGTACAGCCGTCTTGTCGCGACGCTGGGTCCACCCAAATTGGGCAAAAGTCGCCCTAGGGCAGACGCAGCGCCGACCAGGTTTGGAGCAAGCTGTCGGAAGTGCTCGTCGAAGAGCCACCTACCGTCGAGGATCAGGCCCAGATATTTCATCTGGGCCCGAACCGGTACGAGGCGCCAGGGGGTGGACCACGACGGGGCCCATGAAATAACAGGGCCTCCGTCTTATCTAGGGCCACCCGTAAGCCCAGCGCCTCAATGCGCCCGACCACAAGGGAGACTCCCCTTGTGGCCAGGCGCGCCGCCTCTTGGAAGTTTGCCCCCCGGGCTGTCACCAGGGTATCGTCTGCGTAACAGATTACACCCAGCCCGGGGGGGAAATCGGCGCGAAGGGCCCAGTCGTACCCTATGTTCCACAAGAGGGGTCCAAGAACAGACCCCTGTGGAACACCGCACGACATGGGCCGACACCTCAAATTACCCTCTCGGTCCTCGTACACGACGGTACGCTCCTCTAAATAGTCTGCCACTAGCCGCCTCAGGTACTTTGGCACCCCATGATAGTGGAGTGCTTCCCTGATGCAGCTGAATGGCAGACTATTGAATGCGTTGGCGATGTCTAATGACACCGCCAACAGCACGCCGCCACAGCTCACGGCCTCTTCGGTCACGGCCCTCAGGCGCAACACGGCGTCGACTGTCGAACGCCCCGCTCGAAAACCAAATTGGGCGTCCGACAGATCGGGGCCCACCTCGTAGAGGTGCCGGACGATGCGGGCAGAAAGAACCCTCTCAAACAATTTACCCGCCTCGTCCAGCAGCACGATGGGCCTATAGGCCGCGACCGAATTGAAACAAACCCTATACCAACCCGTCTGGCCAGCGTGGTATAGTAGGCCAAAACCTCCTTTCTAAGGAGTAGCCTATGTCAAGCTGTGGACTATTATAGGGTGTTGATAATGATGATGATGATATGTTTGTAATGATTTTAAAGTCCAATCGTCACAATCATTGAATTACAATGATTTACGTCAATCTTATCTGTATTCGCGAATAAAATTATTGTGATTTCAAAAGTATTTTGTTTGAAGAGGTTTTATTTTACCGTCGCTAAATAGTAAGTGATATTGAATTTAAATACATGTTTCAAGACACGTGTCGAGAACAAAACATAAGCATAGATTGTACAATTAATATTCATATTTGTATGTACATATTTATTTAGAAAAAAATCAGTTATTTACATCACGGGTTTAAGGTTTTAGGAAAACAATTTAAAATTACCGGCGTTCTTGTATGTCATGAACCATGAATGATGACCGTGATAATAAAAACAAAAATCTTTACAGAGTTTCGTGTGACTTTTGACACTCCTTGTAAATAAATTCTTGGTATTATAAGAGCTGTAAAAATAATATAAAAACAGGGGTCCGTAGCTGTAGAGGAAAACGGAGGATAATAAAGATAAACTTGTGTTACCAACCACTAGACTACAAAAAGTAAGCAAGTCTTTTCGTTGTCAGGGTGTGCGATTTTACAATAAAGTGACAAGCAAATTCCATGAATTGAGTATTAACAAATTTAAGTCTTTAGTAAAGCTAAAACTGTGTGAAAAGGCTTACTGCACTATTACAGATTATTTAGACGACAAATTTGCTTGGGATTGATGCTGCTCACTCCCACATTTACGTAGACATCTTTGTTGTTAAGTTTGAAAATGATGGACATTTTTTTTTTTTTTTTTTTTGGTGTATTTCGTATTTTATTTTAATTTGTTTATTTTTCGTTGAATTTTAATTGTATAGTTTATAATTGTATGTATTTTTTTGTGTAAGTGTGTAAATGTGAGTATAGTGTAGGCTTGTAATGTTAATTCATATTTTAGTAACTCTCTGGTGGTTTTGAGTGTTTCCACGGCCTACCCAAATGTCCTGCTGGCGGTGGTGTCATGCTTCGGATCGTTGATCTTGACCAATATCGGTAAGGCTACACAATGGCTTGGAGCCTGTATGCCGTCTGTATGGACAGGGCGACTTAAAACTATGGTCCTTTCTTCAAAAGGCCTACCCAGTTCTTATACTGTACTTACACAGTTTTATTGAACTTTGTTTACGGACTTACAAAAGAAGGACACCTCTGTGGTTTGTTTTGGCGTTTCTTCCCAGAGTGAGTCTTAGGAAATGCCGGCTCCTTCTAGCTGTAAAGTCCGACTTGTAAAAATATCTGAAAAGATTTACTTACAGAAATAAATACCATTTATCATTTATCATTTGTCTTTACAAGGAGCCGTCCTTAAGTTCTTGTTACCTTTGAGTTCATCCGAAATTAGAGAGTCATCTAGTATGATAATGATTATTAAACGACTTACAGAGATAACAATGCCTATAAACGGATAATCCAATAATTTATGAGTAAATAAACACTTCAACCTTTTTTTTTCACAAAACTAATTTATTATCTTTCGAATAGTAAGTAAAATACGAAAAATTAGCCGTTAGCCGAAGTTTCGAAGTTAAAATTAATGTTTTCTTTTAAAACTTAACTACCTTTTTTATATTGTAACATCCTATATTTTATTCATTGTCAGACGCAGTGAAAATCGACATCACCCCAGAAGTCTTCAGCGCAGTATCGGCTAGACCAGCCAAAGCACTGGCTCAAGTGTTTCTGGCTGCTAGAGTTTTTCAACCAGCCGTTATCTATATGAGAAATATTGAAAGAGTGTTCGCAAAGAAAGTGAGTAGCCATTGTTTAGAAGAGAGAAACGCCACATAAAAAATTTAGAGATTTTTCATCTGTAGTTGATATCGGCACGATGGATGGGGTTAAAAGTGGGACCATGAGATCTAAGTGGGAAATAAAATATTGTAGACTTACGATTTACTCGCTGTGGGTTTGAACCCCACCCAGTAAACTTTTGACTTGAACCTAATCCTAACATAATTAAATTATCTATACCTACGATATTAATACTGTTAATAATTTACGTTTAATATGCCTCTAGGAATTAAGAAGACATAAGTATGTTTGTATATGATCTATATAACTGTACTTACTTACATATACTATATGATAAGATTACACGTTCATTTTAATTTTATATAAACTTCACTTTATTTAAAAGAAGTATAAATAAAATGATACATCTATAAGGGTCTAATTGCACTATAGAACATCGACGTATCCTTTTTTCAGGTGTTGCCAGAGGACAAATACTTAAAAGCAGCGACATTGAAGCCTATTTTGGTGAAAATGGTTAAACAAATAAGCGAAAAGGACAAAATTATATTTATTGGTAATATTTTTAAGGGTTTTTGTAATCGTTGTTGGCAAAGTTTCTTTTAAAAACGGGTTTATCTAATAACTCCTCCTCCTTGCATTAAAATCCGGTTGTGGAGGTACATTTCATACATAACCCACATATACATTAAATCATATTATGTGTTAGTCAGTTACCTTACAGGAGCAAAGATCTAGTAAATAATAACTAATAATCGAATCAGCTAAAGTTACACGCTGTTAAGTTACACACATTACAAATGAGTCTGTAGCCAGCAGCCCTAGTCTGCCCTTAAAAGGAAGTCTGCATTCTTCTAAACCTTGATTGCCTTATCAACAGGCAACTGTACCTGAGACCCTATCCTTCTCTAGATCTCTGAGGTGCACTAATTCACTAACTCAGGCATTAATCAATCAATAAATTAATCGATTACTTATTGCTGAACACGATAAATAATCATTTAACATCTAAAGTGTCATTGGAAGCGAAGTAAATCACGTTCTTCTGATCAGGGCATGCAGAATTAGTTCTTTTTATCAAATTTAAATAAAACTACATTTATAATTCACACTAATTCAATAGTAAGTCAATAGACATAAATACAATTTCAATAGGGTTTTGCACTAAAATTGCGGTCACTATCATTCTGAGTCCTACCACGCCTGATGCATCATCTTAGAGTTAAATTCACACTACTTCATACTATTCTAAATTATTATAACTTACCATGCCACTAGATACGATTCACAAATATTTACCTCACACATCTCACACACATCTCACACACGGCCGTCTGATCCCAAACTAGACAAAGCCTGTGCTATGGTAATCATAAACTTATATATTTTTAAATACATATATAATATGAATAAATTACACCCACAATAAATACACACAATAAACACACAGAATAAATGACCGTGCTCATCACACAATATTTGTCCCGGGTGGGAATCGAACCCACGACCTGAAAAAAGTTGTATTTTCAGCTACATGCAGTAATCCATTTGAAGCTAATCGAGGCCCAATGCTGTCGTGTTTCAACGAAGTTATTCTTGTTCCAAGAACCGACTACGGATCACTTTTTAAATTCTTCTACTATAAGTTTCAGAGGTAAATTTAATATAAATTACTATGTTACAACCAGAAAGAAAAGAAAAATATCATTTATTTCTAAATCACAGTCTTGTGGCTAAGCGTTCCCTGTAAGTAATCTTTCGATACTTGTGTTGGGAGTGATTCGCTTCTTGCATTCGAGTTTGCTTAGATTTAGATAAAAATAACAAATATAGGTACTTAAGTAACAACTGTAACAGTGATTTAGAAATAAATGTTCTTTTTTCTTTCTTTTTCAACCAACTACTACTACGCCGCTTACTACTACGCTGAGTGTTGTGGGTCCAATCCCCACACGGGACATCACTTTGTGTGATCCACAAATTGTTGTTCTGAGTCTGGGTGTTCCTTGTGTTCGTTTTATGTATGTTTGTAAAGTCCCCCGCGACACAGTATATATTACTAATGCGGGAGTTGTAATTAAAAGGAAAAATAATAAAAAAAAAAATATTGAGAAAAAAAAATTAAAAAACTTAACTGCGTGAAAACGTATACTTAGATTTAACATAAAATTTTCATATCCCCGCTCTCGCTCTCACAATTAAGACGAATCGAAACGACAGTCAAATCAGACAGACATACAAATCTAAACCAATGACAATCCCAGTGGTTTCCAATTTCATCCTGTGGACTCTTTAACTATTAACAGAGAAATTAGTGTACCTCGCGACTTCCCCATCAGTAGCCTGGCGCAGTTGTGTCGAGGGTACGGCTTTGGATCAATCATCAAAGCTTATAACCAAGTTATGTGTGCTGAGAGAATAGTCAGGTAAGAAAGTAACAAATAATTACGCAAAGTTCAACTTCCAGGTCAAAAATGTTGTTTTATTTGCCAGTACTTCAAGTTGTTACAATAATAAATATGTATGTACTAGCTTTTGCGTACCACTTCATTTGTGTAGAATTTGAAAATATCTGTAAAGTTTAAAAACTTTGCAAATATTGCCTTATTTGAGAACAAATTTGATAACTATGAAAAAAAGGTGAAAGGAAGCTCTCAAAAGGAATAATTTTTCCCTGTGTTTGCAACATTTTTCGTTGATACTCCGCTCTTATTGGTTGTAGCTGGTGGTATATAGCCTGTAGCCTTCCTCGATAAACGGGCTATCTAACACTGACCGAGTTTTTCAAATCGAACCAGTAGTTATTGAGATAAACGCGTTCAATCAAACAAACAAAATTTCAGCTTTAAAATATTAGTATAGAAACAATAATTATCTTCAGCATTTTTTCACTTTCAATGTTACATTCCTGTCGGTTCAATTCTTTGAGTTTTTTTATGGTATAAAAGGTGTCAAACGAGTAGACTGTAAGTGACTTTCTTCATCCATGGACATCTGAACAAGAGTCACTAATGGATTGCTACTTTTTGAATTCCCCCAGAACCAGGGGGAGGGGAGGTTTGGGCTCCGGTCATCTTAATCTCTTGGGGAAAAGTATCGAATGAACTGCCTAATACCTGATTAATTTTAGAAAGATCTAGAAGAATATGAATAGTTTAGTAGTTGAAGGCTATAGTGGTCAGCCCCGAAGGACAATAGTGCAGTAGATGATGACACCATGCGTAAAAACGTCACGTGTTTTTCTCTTTTCTTGTGGTCGTCGCAACGTGTAACAGGAAACAGTGTTTTGGCTGATTTCTCTGTAATCTCTATCTCTTGGTATTTCAGTATGAATGTTACTCCGTTGTCTCCAGGAGAGTTTCTGGACAAAGTGTTCGATGCAGGAGTTCTTCTAGACGATGATGTTAGTATGTTCTTCACACTGTTGATACTAAATTCTATAAGGTTAAAGGATTCGTTTTACTCAATAAAGTAGTAATAAAAATAATTCTATAGGTCGTTTTCTAAGAAAACTATTGAATATTAGTCATATAACAGTATGGAACGTGCCAAGCATCTCAATACGAGAATAAATTAAAAATTTACAGTACCATCGATGCAAAAAGCCTTAAAACGAGGCACATGAGAGCAAACGCGTAGACGGATCACCAGATGGTAAGTGAACACTGGCGCCCATGGGCACCTATGCAATACAAAAGTCACAAGGAAGTGAGACACCCCAAAGAAAAAAGCCAAGGCTTGGCCCTCTGATTTTGGGGGTGTCTGGAGTGAAGTAAACGGCAATGAAAAAATTGCTACTAAAAAGACTTCACTTCATTAAATAAATTTACAAAAAAAAACTAACTTTAAATCAGTCCATTGGTTTTATAATTATAGGCTACAGCACGAAAAACAGATATAGACGTTGTAGAGCATGGAAGAAAAAAAAGACATCGAAACATTTACTCCTCATTTGGTCCTCGAGTAAAGAAGCTGTAGAAAGAAATGTCCTAAACAATTTTTTTTTTAATTATTAGCAAAATTAAGAAAATTTTAACAGTTTAAGAGTTATTTTTCACAATTTAAAAAAGCCAGTCGGTTAATCAATCAAGTGGAATTAAAGAAAACGTGTATTTTTTACAGGATTACCAACAGTATGTTAATTTTTATCTGGATAATTCACCAATCAAGAAAGAAAGAGAAGAATATAATGTAATCAACATGTACAGAGCTGAGCATTATAAGAAAATGGCCAAACTAGAGATGGAAGCAAAGAAAAAGAAAGGATAACAGGCCAACCGTGATATCCTAAGTCTATTTTATTAAGTAATTAAGACAGTTTCAAGTTCTTACTAATTTTTCAGCGACTTTTTACTAATATCTTAGCAGAAATCATTTGTGTAAACCGCACTACTTACTAACTAATGATACTGCATTGCGCAATCAAAGTTCTCCCAATGAAAAAAAAAACAGTGACACTCCGGGAGTGCCAACAGAAATGAAAACTTGAAAACTTCCATTTTTTCAAAAAATGTTTTATTGTTCATAAGTCGAAGCTCACTCATCAGCTAAGTTAGACTGGTCGGATAATTCTCACTTTATGTTGTGGGACAATCACGACCATTCCTCCATCTTTGCAACTGTCCTAGTTCAAGTTTTCAGCTTGTACTTACTTACGAGTAAAACTACTTATTTACAATGTACCATTTTAATACATTAGTATATTTGACAGCTGTTTAACCGTATATGTTATGTAGCTAACTGATCGGTTACTCCTGTCGATGAACTTTTTAAAAAGGCGTCTTTAACTTTTGGCGTCTTCATGCCCATTTCCCAATTTGAGGTCGGTGCATTTTACATATGCAATGTTAAAAGATGTTTTTGATGACTGCTGTTATGACCGGCCGCCCGCTAAAAACTAGCCATTGTTGGAAATGAATTCGTTTTCAGAAAGGAAATATTTACCTTTCAATATGACAATATATATAGAAAGTCTCAGCTGGTAAAAATGAGTCGGCAATAGCTTGAACGTGATTTTTTTGTATGATTGTCACTTCAGAAATAGAAATCCGCCATTAGGGACCCGATTTTTTTCAATGCATTTCCATTAACTTCCATTTTGATCTCATTCAAATTTGTAGAATAAATGCACCGTTATGAATGAAAAATAGGGAATCAGAACAGTTTGTTACAATTCGTCATGATTTATGCACATTGAAGTCGGTTTTACTTTTTTAAATGTTAATTATTTAGTTTACTGCGGTTTGTAATTGTATTTTGAAATATGTAAGATTCTTATATTTAAGTGAAAGTTATACCTGATTGTTTTTTTGTTATATTGGAAATAAAACTACTTAATGACTGATAACAACTTTATTATTATACTTTCGTTATCAATTCGGATGGGGTCCAACTAAGCTAAATTGCTTGTGTTAGGAGTGGGTTTACGTCGGTAGTATACTTGGTCAGGAGTCGAACCCACGACCTCTTGATCGCAACTCCAGTGTTTTAACCACTAAGCTACCACCACTTAAATTTTGTTTTTGTATGTTCGGGTATAGCTCTGTCATACTTACAGATTTTCAAAGTTTTTTTTGTTCGAAAGGGGATTATTTCAAAATAGTCTCAGCTAAATTTCATATACATCTGATAATGATTTTCGGAGACAGACAAATAACTCTTCAAGTAATGACAGCAAATCAACCGCGATTGCTGCTAGGTTTTTAGCGCTCTTTGTTAGTGTTGTTTAAAGTCGGTTCAACGTTAAAAAAAGTATTTATTATAGTTCACTTCGTCGATCAAATCTTTAGGTTTTCGTATTAATAAATATCACCTTTTGAGTTTAAAAAGTTACTGTAACTAACAGACACTACGTGAAAAATAACACTGTGACAGCTCACACACAAATACAACGCTGTATTAGAATAAATTAGTGTTGGTCCTTCTTCTTCTGGTCGTCTCTCGTCATCTTTTTAGATAGAGTGAGTTGATAACAATCCAAGCTAATTTACTGTTCCCAACCTAATAGTAATTAGATGCATTGGTCAAGGCCCTCTTGCGTCGGCTCAAAGGCCCAGGCCCTGGGCACATAAGAACTTAGGGACCTCGAGTCATTGTAAAATATAAAACGTGGGAAAGCTATTCTTCAGTACGTATGGGCCCATAATACCACAGCATCACAATAAAACTGGAGTTAATGTCTCCTGTGCCACACAAAAAAGTGATCCATTATACTATTATTATTTTCTGGCTCTCATGGTAACTAAACGCCTACGGTGATAATAGTTTACAGAAATTTACATAATCTATGAAAAAGGCACAGAACAATGTTGTACATCATGTAGATATAGATTATATAGTATAGTATAATACATCTTTAAAACGTGTTTAGTTGGGATTCCGTATTTTGTGTATCCGTGTGTTCCGTATTTTGTGGTCAGCGGTATTTCTGGCCCGATACGACCTTCAAACCTTCACGAAAAGAGCGTACTCCTTCCTCTAAGGCCGCAACGGGCTTGTGACTACTAATTTGCAGGTGTTTATGGGCGGCGGTAGCCACTTTATATCAGGTGATCCACCTGGTCGTTTACCCCCTCTCCCATGAAAAAAAAGACTACACACCAGGAGTGTATGTTGTTGTATGACGTCTACTTTTAAAAGAGGTTGGCAAAGGTCTATGATGACACATCAACATTCCGCCTTCTGCAGCCAACTGGGCCCTATGGGAATTAAATATAGGATAAGATAGGATAGATAGAGATAGAGGTGGTGTAATAATGTGATGCTAGAGATAACCAAACTGCAGTGACATCCATATATGTACGGCTGTTGATGGATGTAAGAGTAGACGAAGATCAAAGAAAAGATAGATGGACTGTATGGCTAAAATGGGAGTAAGCAGCAGACGAGTGATAGAGCAGTATGGAAGAAGAAAACTCATTTCGGCGATTAATAAATTTAGAAAAATGGCAGGAATATAATTAAAAGGAGAGGTAGATAAAAATGAAAGCAACTGAGTTATGCGCCTGAGGTCAGCCACCTAACCACATGCTCCCTGCTTCTGCATCAGCACAATGGCTCCCCCTCTGAGCGGGAGATCCATCCAATTTTCAACCCAGTCACCAAAAATAGGGTAAGAATGAAAGCTAAACAGTATTGCTTAAATGAATAGATTGGGGAGTGTAAAATAATTAATTAATTACTAATTAATCAATTAAAACAAAATCCAAATAATTAGTTAATTGAAACAATTTTCAAATTCTTCACAATAGACGTTTGTTTTTTTTCGTAATATGATAAAATGTTTCAAGTTCCAAGTTTGCGTAATGACCTTTCCTTTATACAATGATAACAATTCTCACCTGAGGGTGTTTGTGTATTTGCCTCGGTCATCGTAATCTAGTTGGCATTTTCAAACTACCGGACATTTTTGGTTCATACTAGAAATAAAGTAACAAAAGTGCGCGCATATTATAAACTAATGTTGATTTATATGGTGCAATCTAATGCTTACTGTAGTGATTAACCAAAACGGACTCCCTACAAATATAATATGGACAAGATAAGATTTCGTGTGAGTACATAAAACATAGGACAATGCAATCTCTTTTCTTAACTTTTTTGAGTCATTGATTTAGAAACGTACGATCGCTGTTCCTTGTTATTACATTGTTTATTTATATATTATGCTCACTAAGTGGACTGTAACGTTCTTGAGTATAATAAAGTTCTTTAAACCTAAAAATTACACTCTCCGATACATCCACCATCAGGATATTGAGGAGATATCCGAGTCAAGGATAATTCTTAGCCGAAATTAAAAGCAAACTTTTCAAGTAAGTATAAATAGTTCAACTCAGTTGTGCGCGCGGCCCTATGAGTGCGTGGGCTTGTAAATATACAACTTTCATTCGTGTGGCAGTGACGCGGCAGTCGTCGTCCGAGCAAGACGTGTTCTTATCGCTTTTTCTTAAGGGTACAGTCGTTTACGAAAATGTCTAGTTCTTAGAAATGTTTAAGGAGTCAGGTAAATATTTTTTAAATTTAGATGTAATTAATATTTATTATGATTCTTAAACGAAAAAATATATTCTTGTTGACGTTTACGTATTATTGTTTTAGACTCGAGAAACCATTGCTAAGGTATACGAATTTCTGAAAATAGATGCGAGAGATATATTGGAACTAGTAAGTGATCTAGTTTGTAGTGCAAGTCCAATTTTAATATCGAAATTAAGTGAACATTTAAATAGCGTACGGAAAAGAACAGCAATGGCAGTGGGGGTATCAGAGAGAACAATTACTAATATATTGGCTGAAGGAAAAGAATCTGACTCTAAATTTAAATCTCCGCATAAAGACCGTAAAAAACGTTTAAAAAAGTTAGAATTAGACAACTTTAACGTTGATGTTATACGTTCCACTATTCAAAATTACCATTTAGAACATCGCGAGTTACCTACCTTGCTAAAGTTGAAAAGAATATTTCAAGATAAACTTAACTATGATGGAAGTATTTCGACTCTGCGTACAGCTTTGTTAAAGTTGGGATACAAATGGCGAAAAACTGTGGATAACAGACGTGTTATTATAGAGCGGCATGACATCCAAAAACTACGATTTTCCTACCTAAAAAATTTACTCAGATACCGTCAAGAAAATAATAATATATACGATACACCGAGTATCGTATATACAGATGAGAGCTACATCTTAACTAATCATTTGCAAAACAAAGGATGGGGTAATAAAGATGGACCACCTTTAAAGAGAAACCTGTCGAAAGGACAAAGAATTATCATGTGCATGCTGGTTCAGAACAAGGTTTCGTACCTAACGCACTATTGACATACAAAGCAAATAGTGTTTCTGGTGATTACCACTCTAACATGAACGCAGAAAACTATGAAAAGTGGCTAAAAGAACGTCTAGTACCGAATCTTCCACCTAACTCTGTGGTTGTGCTTGATAATGCCTCATACCATAACGTTCAAAATGACAGAGCCCCAAATTCTAATTCCAAAAAAATAGAAATGCAGAGATGGCTGACAGAAAAAATATAGCTTTTAATCAAGATATGAAAAAAATTGAACTGTATGATTTGATTAAAAAAAAATAAAGAAAAATATATCTCTTACAAGATCGACGACATACTTCAGCCATATGGAATAAAAATTCTTCGACTGCCACCATATCATCCTGAACTAAACCCCATAGAACATGTGTAGGGAATTTTAAAGAATTATATTGCTTAGCATAATGTCGACCAAAATGTGAAGGAAATAATGAAA